GAGCAGTATTTTACACTATGGTTTCACCTTTTTACAATTTTATTTGATTTACAAAAATACTAAGACATAACTCTTACTTCTAATTATCAATTCCATATTTTGTCGCCTTTGTCCCTAGCCCAGTTTGCGAGGTGTTACCAGTAACAGTGCCTCTCGAAATGTTGGACCACATAAGACTGGAAAAAAAACAAAAAATACATTTGACTTTGGCATTGGTTTTTATCACTTATTTGTCAATTCTGGTTGTCTGGCTGTACATCTGAGTGCTGTTTGTGCAGAATTATGAATGTTTCTTGGCAAAATCAATCACAGTCTGAGCGAGACTGCCTCATGAAAGGAAGTTTTATCAAATAATTAACAGGCTTTATGTCACGTACTGCGGTCACCCTGGTATTATAAGCTGAGTTTGAATGACACAACTCTTATTACCAATAATCATTTCCACATTTTGTCGCCTTGATCGTACATGCCAAGCCCAGTTTGTGAGGTGCTACCACTCACAATTCTTCTCTAAATTTACACATTAGTTAGAAGAAAGTAAAAGTATATTTGACTTTTGCGGCTGTTTTAATCAACTCACTGTTGATTGTAGTTGCTGGCTGTATATTTGTGTGTTGCTTGTGTAGAATTATGATTTTTTTCTTGACAAAGATCCCAATCGGAGTGAGACTGCCTCATGAAATTAAGTTTAATTAATTATTAAAGCAGCTTTATGTCACGACCTGTGTTCATTTTCCATCTTTAAGGTCATTTCAGTTTTATATGTGAATATAATTGTACTTAAGAGCTGGAAACCCGAACAGCATTTTTTGCTATGTTTGCACGTTTGCATTTCTTTAAACACATTAATGATGTAACTCTTACTATTATTAATCAAATCCACAGTGTGTCAGATTCATCACATGTCTCAAGCCCAGTTTGGGAGGGGTTACCAGTGACAATGCTTCTAGAAATACTGAGTGTACATAAGATTAGAAAAGCACTAAAATACATTTGACTTTTGCAATTGTCCTTATAAATCAATTCTTTGTCGACTGTGGTTGTCAGGCTGTAGATCTGTGTGCTGTTTGTGCAGAATTATGAATATTTCTTGACAAAGATCTCAATCTAAATGAGACTGCCTCATGAAACGAAATTTAATTAAGGATTTAACTAGCTGTGTGTCACGACCTGTGTTCACCCAGGTGTGATAAGCTGTGATTATAACACAAAAACAAACACAGGACAAGACAAAGAACCCACATCTGAGTGAGACTGCCTCGTGATATGAAGTTTAATTAATTGATTGAGAGGATTTATGTCACGATCTGTGGTCATTTTCCATCTATGGAGCCATTTTAGTTTATATGCGAGCAGAATTCAGACAAATACAGCTTGTATGTTTATTTGAAAGCTACTTTTCTTGGGGGATAACCGGGGATGAGCTGGCTGGAGGATACGCAGCTCCACGGTGCGGTTGCTGTGCTCAGATTTACCTGTAATACAGGTTAAACAAAAGTCTCCTCGGGCACAATGGCAGGGTTTTTATTATGGAGTAGGCTAGGCTAAATGATTTCGTCAGGATCAGGTGCATCTGCAGGAGGAGAGGGCAAACTACCAAGCTGGAGATTTCCCGTTGTCATGGCGATGGGGGTGATCCAGATAATAATAATAGCCTCTTAATGTCGCTTCATTTTCTGCGTTTATATGCAGCAGTGCGGCTCGTTTATTAGCCTCCTCTGTGTCCCGTGGTGCTGTGAGGCCGCCGGGCCTGCAGGCTCTCACAGCCTGGAACATTTTCTTCAACACCTTCCAGTTTCTTCCATCTAACCGGCAGCTTTTTCCTGCATCATGTCAGTTGGACAGAAGCGGGATCTTCCAGCGTCAAAGCGCACATTCACGTCCACATGCGCCTTATTTTCTTTTTTTCCTCCCCTAATCATGCTAAATTATTGTCTTAATTAATGTGTGGTTCGTCTTGCTCTCTGTTATGTAACTATCCACCCCCACCGTCCCCCGTATAACAGATGATTGCATTTAACAAGCCGTCAGCAGGATCGCAACAAGGCGCAGCGCTAAAAGGAAGAGAAAGACGGACGGAGCTCACCTGGTGCAGCAGATCGGTGAGCGCCTCCCGGGACATTTTAAGCCGTTTCGTTGCCATGAAAAAAAAGAAATCTCCGCTGAGGCTGTAGTCTGTGATTATCAAGACGCTTCTGCGAGGACTGAGTGAAGGAGAGCCACTAATTCCCCCTTTCCTCCATCCTCAGAGCAGGCAGCGGCCGTCAGCCTCCACCCCTCAGCTGGGAGAGAGACATGGAGGAGGAGAGAGAGAGAGAGAGAGAGAGAGAGAGAGAGAGAGAGAGAGAGAGAGAGAGAGAGAGAGCGAGCGAGAGAGAGGGAGAGAGAGACATGGAGGAGAGAGAGAGAGATGGGGAGAGAGAGGGAGAGAGAGAGAGAGAGGAGAGAGCGAGATAAAGGAGAGAGAGAGCGAGATAAAGGAGAGAGAGAGAGAGAGAGAGAGAGAGACATAGGGGAGACAGAGTGGAGAAAGTGAGCTAAATACAACAAACATATACATGTAAACACACACATATATATCTATTATGTGTCACAATAAACATTAGTCAAGTCTATCAAACTCATTCACCAAACCTATTTGAATATCAGTGTTAAGACCCTACAACATTGTGTTTTATGTAAGTTTGCCTGAGTGGTTTAAATATTACAGTTATGACCCTACAATGTTATTTGTTCTAAAATTAAAACATTAAGACCATGCAATATAATTATGCAAAATAATCTTAATACAAATATATGAATATAATACAAAAATACCTGACTAATTTAAATATGATGACTGAGAGATTGAACATGAATAAACTGTCTGGCTCGTCCTCTGCTGTATTCAATCACAGTGTTTCCGATCGCTGGTTATTTCCATATTCAGCCTCGGAGCTGTCCGTGGTGCTGAACCTGCACACTCTCATCCTCTCCACATTAGTGGGAAGCTCCAGACATCTCTAATCTTGGTGTAAGACATTGTAGTGCTGCTTGCTGGCAGCATCTGACTGGTTTCCTGCTCAGCGATGCGTCAGTGGTGACCTCTGACCTCTTCATGTAACTCACATTGGTGAGTCTGGTATGACTCAAGTGGCATCCAGTGGTTTAGGGCGCCTACATTTCCCACATTGAAACCATTAAATCGATCTGAGATGCAAATACACCCAACCAGCAACAATCCACTTGAAGAAGTCTTGTGTGTAGGGTTTTTATTGTTTCCTGCTGGAGTTAAATATTGCAAGCCGAAGACAGAGGATGTGTGTGTGTGTGTGGATACTTTGATGAGTTTGTCTGGTGGCATGAGGTTAGAAAAAGAACTGCAAAGTGTTAACAACAACACAATAGTCATAGCTATGCTTAAAACATAGTTAATGCATTGTTCAAAGAGATTTTTCTCAATGTAACATATTTTTGAATGTTAAAAGTTTATTTTAGTTTGACACAAGTGATTTTTTTTTTAGAAACCAAACTGAAATAATAACTATATAATAATTACAATAATAAAGGCTTATTGAGTATGAAAAAATCAATGCGGTAGAACAAGTTGTCCACTAATTGCAAGGTTGGCTGTTTGATCCCAGACACCTCCATGTACCCTTTGATGAAGCATTGAACTCCAAGTCTTAGCCAATTAGCAGCTCTGCAACCATGGCTGTGCCAATGGATGAATGAAATACATATTGTAAATCCTTCACTAATTACATTATGTGACAGTGAATGATGGGGACGAAGCAGTTTGATGATATTCTTTGGGGTTTTGGCAGTAACAAGAGGAGTAGATCCTCAAAACCAACTTGTTTTCAACAACATTTTACTATGTGAGACTAAATATCTTTCACTCCAGGGTTCTAGCACCACCAACTGAGGGTTACGTCCTCCAGTCAAACTGTTGTATTTCTCCTTTAATATCTGTATCAGTGGTCACCTGAAGGCATTTAGGCTTTTTTTTTTTTTTTTTATCATTCCATCACATTAACATTAAAATACCATTCAATTCAACACATATTTCTAGTTTCTAAGACACTTAGAAGAAGAGAAATGAGGAAAGTGTTGAAAAACCAGGACAGTCAGTCTCCTTCTGAAGTTTAAGTAAACATGAACCACGCCGACCCGGATGTCTCACACAAATCATCCACGTTCCTACAGAACTTAACTGAGGTTAAAAGTCACTCTATAAGTGCGGATCGTGCACTTTGCCTGCTGCAGGTTGATAACCTGAAGCACAGATAAAGAACTGGAGAGAAACTCATTTCTTTTAACTCCACACCTTCAGATTTTGCACATTTCAAACTTGCAGTCTTCAGATAAAGCCATGTTTCAGACTTTATAGAACAACCACACATGCTGCAGACTAGAGCTGACAAATAATCCATTTGGATCAATTTGAAACACAGCAATTAGCAAACAGCAAAGACTGCAATGTAGGATTTGCAGGTTTATTTTTTTAAATAATGATTTTATTTAACTTGACTGCAGAATATGTATGACTTAGATGCTGCTTCTGAGCTATGAATGACTTTTTTCAATATCAGAGATTGTTTAGAGAAAAGTTCAATTATTTTCTTATTGGAATTATTTTTCTTTAACACAGTCACAGCTTTTGTGATCATTTTTCTATCTTCTCTGACATTTAAAAAATGTCATTAATACACATTTGAAGCAGTTCATAGCTTTAGGTTTTCAACCTTTTATTAGGATATAGAGCAGGTAATATTTTGATGGTGTTTTGTGTTAAGGCTCCATCACATTTTAAATCCACCGCACAATAAATATTAAACTGAAGCTTTAAAAAAAAAAAAATTATACCGCAATAGCTGTTAGAAAATCAGTTACATAGACAATCAGCCCTACTGGCTGTGTAAATTTGTTAGAACTCCTTTTTAAGAATCGCTACAGTTATGGCTCTTATCAATACAATATGAATATTCAATTCATAAATAAAAGATCAACACTGTGGGTGCTTTCAACAGCTTTAATTTTACCATAAATAATAAAAATGACACATTGCTTTGTCACTACAAACAAACTAAAGATGACTATAGAACTAGAGCTTCCTAGAAGCTAACACAAACAGATAAATAACGATATAAAAACTTTATAAACAACGCAAACATAACATTGTAAATAATCAAGAGTGCGCCGGAGGAAGACGGCAGCATCCCTTTTGCATCATCTGGTAAAAGAACATCAACAAAATAAGCATGATGGCTTTCTTAGTGAAGATAAACGAAGTGATTCTTAAGTCGATAACCACTGAGGTGCACACCTGATACGATCACTGGAGACAAATAAAATATCTTTGCTGCAATCACAAGGTGCTCAGACTTTATCAAGTACAGTAGGAGTAGTAATGTTGAAAGAGGTGGAAAAATAATGACTTTAGATTTAAGATCTCTGAAAATGACGATAAAAAATGTCATGTTTTCATCAGACAACAGTAAAGACAACTGCAAATATTCATTAGTGTGCAACAAACCTAGCTTCCTTCAATCCCCCACAGCTGAGCTACCTGGAGGTACTCTCTCTTCGCTCTCCTTTAATCTTTAAAAACACGCTCTTTATGAGGCTGCATAATGAAAATATACTCTCACAGTTACTTCTGAAACAAAACTTAGTCCTAAAATATACAGATTTTACTTCAGTTTACTTACTTATACAATATTCAATATTTACTACAAGGTCATTTCTTCAAATGAAGTTCTGGAAATGTGGTGAAACATGAACCCAAAGGGCAAAGCTACAGCTACACTCATAAATCAGAAATGAATGAAGGTAATAAATAATAATATATTTACGATCTAAAGGAATATGGGCTGTGAATGGCTTTTAAATTGGCTGTATAGTCATGTCACCCACTTCTGATTTCAGATTTTTTGCACAATTTTTACATTCATATGTATAATCTAACATCGTCAGTTGCAGCTTCAGTCCCTCATCATTGCATTCAGCCACAGTACTGTTTGGAGATCAGACACAAAATGACCATAGTTACATGCCAAAGCTGAAACAAAATGGATTTCAAGCCTAAAAACACACTTTGGTTTGAGGTTATAGCCTTAAAACTGGACTATGTAACTCATGAAGCTGGAGAAAATACAGTTTGTCTCTTCTAAATGAAAAATACGTGCTTAAGTAAAACAGTTCGGCAGCTTTAGCAGCTGATGTTTCCTCAATAACAAAGATACACAACTGTAACTGACATGTAAGAGTCAATTTTTACAGCTATTTACTTGCTATTTTTGGCCACAGTAGCTGCTGTTGTGTAAAAGTTAAACAGTCTCTTTTTAAGCAGCCATTTCAGTCGGCTGTACTGATTAAAAGTGAAATTGGTCAGATACCCAACAGGCCATCTCCTCCACCACTGACCTTCAGTCAGATTTTTAAATTGTAAGTTTCATGTGCCTCTGACAGAACAGATATGCCTCAGTTTTAATCAAACCAGCCACAGAAGCTGCCTTTCACTTGTGCTTTATGTGGTAAGCTGAAACTTGGTGCATTTCTTTCTTTTTTTTTTTTTTTTTTAGTATTTTCATGCATAACTATGTGTATTGGGCTCTGCTTACTTTTAAAAGCAGTACTGTGGCTGAATGCTTTCAGTGTAGACACAGTAGAGCCTGAAAAATACAACTGAAGTGTTTGCTGCATGGACTTAAACAAAGGCAGTTAAATAAAGTCTTAAATGTCCTCATCTAAGGATCAATGGGTATGTAAAATAACTCACTGGCAGGCTGAACAGCAGAGTCTAACTGAGTTCTCCAGCTGAAGCTTCACCTCTTCTTCATGACGAATGGGCGCAGTAAGTTGACTTCCAACTACACCTAACAGTGATGCCATGAGGTACCTGAGTACACCTGTACATCACTGCATCGAGGTGAGGAGTTAATCGAGCAGAGGTCAGCAAAAACAGGACGTTCAGGAGTTTACGGCTACTCTTTAAAGTCGTAGCAGTGTCTTTGTTACCCTGGATTCACTAGAAAGTGTTTAAATTGTTTCCTTCATAAATTACGTCACTTGAATGGGAAAGAAAAGAAAAATATTTTGGATAAACAGAAAATACTTACAGCATGATTTAAAGGGTCACATTTAAGACATCAGCACAAAATATTGGCAACGTCAATACAAAAACCAATATTGGCCGAGTTATAGTAAAAGTGAAACATCCCTCCATTTGCTTTTTGGTCCGATCTGCCACCTCCTTGGAGCTTCACCACCATGTGATCTTAAACTCGTAGATGGGCCTCTTGCAGTAGTAATGGTTGATGAGGTGCTTGTCGCAGACACCGATGCACTGCTGCTCGGCAGAGATGCCGCGCTCGGCCAAGTCGCTGACGATGCAGTGCAGCAGGTCGTAAACATCTGCGACCGCCTCCCAAGGCCCGAAGGAAACGTCCACCTCGCAGTGATGCTCAAAAAGTTTGGCTTCGCTGTCCGAGCGCTCGAAGCGCAAAGAGTTAAAAAGAGGACGCTCATACGGCGTGATGGGCATCTCCTCCTTGTAGACGCAGATCTTTAGCTTTGCAAATCGGGCCTTTTTCTGCATCGCCCTCAGTTTGGCAATCTCCACAATGCGCTCCAGATTGTCTGCAATGAGAACAGTTCTATTTATTCATGTAGTTTTAAATATCTACACACTTATTCGTGTTTTTAACTCACCTGAAAATCAAGCATTCTTCACCGCTGCTCCAAAACTGAGGAAAAAGTTCCCGTCCTTTTCCTTTCTGTCTTTTCAAATTTAATCTTCAAAGTCATTGTATTTCTTCTGCTTTTTGACAACCATTTTGTACATGAGTTCATGTGTTTGTTTTCCTCATATTATTCTTGGCTATTGTTCAGCATTGACTTTGCTCTTCCTATAACACAAGTCTGTAAAGAGCTCTAATTAACACTTTCATTATTTTTATTTTTTGAATAAAACACAAGCAAAGTAACTTGATCTTAGCTGTTCATAAAAGCATGTGTTTGATGTATGTGCATCACATCTGGACTTAATTATTAATGGTGAAATCAGAACAAACGGTCTGATCTAGTTGTGTGTCTTCCATCTTTAAAGAAAACAAAGTACACTCTGTACCATGTTCTGTACGGGCTGTCACCCACCAGCTCTTCTCCTGCAAACACTCTGTCTCCTCTGCACTTTCATCTTTTGCATGTATTCTGAAGCAAGCCTTAGTTTATAATATTTGTATAAACCCTTCTCTTTATATGAGACTATTCTCTTTTATTAATGGAACTTTACACTTAACACGGGACACATCATGCAGTTTCTACTCAAGCCTTTGTTCTCTTTACATTGTTATCTAAATGTAACATTTGAGTTATTTTTACTTTCAGCTACAAAAAGCTGATTAAGATTTCATAAAATTCTATCAAAACCCGCCAACACACTTCTATCTAAATGACAGTGGCAGCTCCTCCAGCTCTTGTCTTTTCATTTTACTATGTGAGTTCATGAGAACAGCATGGTTTAGCAACTGCCAGGAGAGGCTACTATGCAAAGATGTAAAATAAAACTGGACCATACTGTATGTATTAAGCTAATTATTTAGTTCAGAAGGCTTTTCAACCAAATAATGTGATACAACTACACATAATTTTGCACTGTTTTTAGATCCCACCTTAAAACTTAAATGCCACAGCACTGTCATGGGTAATATTCCCAGTAAAGCAGTGCCATTGCAGTGAGTATTCTCATGATTTCTGTTTGTTCTGTGCTGGTTTTCATTGTGGAGGTTGTTACCTTTGTAGTAGGGCAGCAGATCGAGAAACGCTTGTCGAACTTTCTCCCCTGTGAGCGGCTGAATGTCCTCCAGGCTGTCCAGCAGCGGGCCAATGGCGTAGTACTGAGCCTCCCTGTGCACCGCTCTCACTCGGTCCCTGTGAGGAAGTTCACCTTCTCGGAGGAAGTTCAGGATGTCCCTTTGAATGGGAACAGAGTGCTGAGAATTAGATTTTTATGTGATGAATGACACTTTAAACAAGTTGTATCTGAAGTTGTTTTTTTTAAAAACAAAGATCAACAGAAGATTATTAGGAAACAAACCCTGCACCCTCATAAGTACAGCAGCCAACTGTTGATGCAGATGACACATTTTCTTCCATGTTTGTTTTTTATGCCGGAACAATGAAGGTCATTAAAACTGATAAGCTGACACTCCATAAAACCAAACATGTCCGTAAAGGCTGTTTTTACATGTCATTTGTGCAGAAAAACAAACTGCTCTACAACAGTCCAGGAGGTGGTGGTGATGCAGAAGACTATACAACAATGACGGCACCATATAAAGTAAGGGACGGCTAACATTGCAACAACAGTAAGCACAGAAGAGATTAAAGATGTGTTGATGTTCATTGTGGTTTAGGCCATGTAAGCTAACGTAACAAAGCCTCCATTGTTTTATTTCCCTTGTCTTCCAGGGACAGAGTTACGTCTGGTAACTACGGCTCGTCGATGTTCTGGCACACACACGTTCGCACCTCTTCGCCTGTCCCTGGCTCTACAGTGGAAAGCCACCTATTGATTTCCTCCAAAGGAGATGATGGGTAAAGTTCCTGCAGTGAAAATGCAGCCTTACTCTATCAATAATCCCACCTGATGCGACTGAAAAACATTTCATCTGATCAATCAATCACAGACAGCTGAATGAAATCAGACAAATTTTGCCTCAAGCCCAATTTAGTGGACGATGAAGTATGTGGTCGAGTGGGATGTAGCAGCTTTTTTGCTGCGGATTATTGTTATCAAACTTTTGCAAACAAATCGTCCACTGCTGAGGACAACTGTTATATGATTGTATAATTAATTTATCTACTAATAAGGCATGTTGCTGCTGCTGCATGAAGTTATGACATAAATACTGTGGCTATAATGATACAAAAAAAAAGCTTTATCATGTTAAAAATAATACCAAAATGATGAAATTTAACTATTATAGCACTTTTGTCTTTTGCCTGTACACACTGGCTATATATTTACATTTGCTCATCTTTCCTTAATTTTGTGCCTATACTTTCTCATACATCTTAGCACTGACTGTAAATTTACTGAGAGCTCCTGACTCAAAGTGCTTGTACATATCGGCAAACATGGCCAGAAAAGTTGATTTTGATTCGACTTCTGTTTCTCTGCAGCAAAACCCGAAGGGCTTGTGAACATAAGTGGATCAAATAAATGCAGAAAAACACAGAGAACTCCTGGAGAAAGATTTGCTGCATTGCACAAGACAACACCAACATGGGAGAAGATTTATTTTCCAACAAGACAATAGACCCTAAAACACAACGTTGGCTAAAAACATCCCAAATGAAAAGGCTCCTCTTGAGTGTCTGTACGCCTGCAGTGAGCGGGCACCCTCTGAAGGTTTTTTTTTAAATCATTTTATTCAGTTACATGTGTTCCATCTCATCCTGCTGGCTCCTTGTTTTTAAATCTTTAATTACACCCCCCCACACACAGAGTCACATTGACCTCAGCCCAACCCACTTCTTACATAAGTCATACATCTACTCTGCTTGTTATCACATCCATATTTAAAGCAATTTGCTTTTCCTTTTTAGCCGTGCTAGCAGCTAGGCTCCAGGGATACTGCTGGTCCTCAGACTGAAATGTCTTTCATACAGGCATTCGTGATCCCCAGAGGAAGAAGCCCACTGACTTTGGTGATCCCTTCATTTTTAATCAAGCACCACTGAGGGTGACATTTGTGGTTTTGATATTTATGTCTCAAGAACTAAAATTTGGTTCAGACATTAATTTAATTTTGTTTCCCTCAGGAGAAATTGTTGCAACTCCCTCAACGTTTGCTTCATTATCTGATCGACACTTAGCTGGTCAATTACTATGGTTTATATCTATTTCACTGTAAAATTAACGATTCTTCATCACCCACAGCTGTATTCTGTTTACTGCTTATTGATACGTGATAGCACAGGCCTAGGCGATGCAATGTTAGCAATGTGTACCACTGATAGACACTTCATCAACAGCAATAAGAAAATAGTTAGACAAAATGTGATAGCCTTACTTGAATGCATCATGTGCACACACACACACACACACACACACACACACACACACACACACACACACACACACACACACACTGACTACCTGTGCACTCTGATAAATACAGGCTGAAGTGGTTAAATTTAAACAAAATCTTTTTTCTTCTGGTGTTTCATAAAAAATAAGTCATTAAAAACAACAAATAACTATCAATATCAACTGAAATGAAATCACTTATTGAGATAAACTTTTCAGCTATATATCACTCAGTGTTAGTATGCCAACACACAAACAGCAGTGAACATTAAATCTACTAGACTCACACGATCAGCAGTGTCATAGAAAGCATGATGGCATGAAGCTCACAGAACAGCTAGCGATGCATAATCAGCATAACAGGTAGTATTACATATACCTGACTCGTAGTCTGTTTCAATCTCTGCACTCAAGGAGGTGTTACAGGTTCTTGACAATTCTGCTGCCTAATTTCTAATCCTGCATTTTGCAATGTGATATAGTCAGCTCTTCATAGTCTATGAATATTGACATTATTATTTATTGTGTAATAAATTATGTCTGCCTCTATGTTGTGCTGCTGATGCTGAAACTGGATACTGAGTATTTTTTCCTATATTATACTCTGAACAAATCCACTGGCGCTGGCTGTGTGGCAACCAAAGTGAAGTAGGCTCTTAGGGCCAGGTTAGGATACTTAAGACCACAATAGAAATCAAATGTGTGGAGTGAAAAGCTGGCTGAAGGGGGAGACAAGTCTTTGTTTGAGAAGTGGTGATACTGAGGCACATTTTGAGACAATCTCTTCACAGAGACACTGATAGTGATGTATCAAAAATGCGACAAATAGTCGAGTGGTAAATGAAAACAGAAAGCTACAAAGAGAAATAGTGTCCCTCTCACATCCACACAGCAAGCCAATGAAGTTAGTGTGACTGTTGGTAATGGAAATATATATATATCAGACGGCACAGATGCCCTTCACCTGATGTTGGAAAGTGTAGGAGCTTGATTCGATTTGCAGATTGGACAGACCTGTGTTGTTACTTTGTGAATTTGACCTGCCTCCTCTAAGTGTAGTTTAAAATAAAAAATGTAATTCACATTCAGTTTCAGTTGATTTACAAGTTAATTTTATTTCGTATTCTACTGACTTTGTATTACTGTACAGTTTTATGCTATCCCCATTGTGCAATATTTAGGTAGTATCTAGGTTGTTTTGCTCTAATAAAAAAAAAAAAAAGATCTTCTTGGGTTAAAAATGATTTGTTGCATTTTATGCTGCTGGATCTCTGTGGTAAAAGTTAACAGATCTGACAAAAAGTTTGTTAAACTCTGATGACATCAGTGGTATCAGAGTTGGCTGCACAACAACCCAAAACTTTTTACTTTTAATTAGTTGCACCATTTCAGTCCCTTTCCTCTGGCTTTGTTCATAACTTTGTTGTCCTTCATAATGCAGAGTGACACAACTACAGTAAATAACTAAAAGGTCACTGTGTCATTGTTGAGACACAAGCTCAAAATCTTAATTCTATCACAGCATAAGCTGCAAATGTGAAGAAGCAGAAGAACAGAAATAGATATGTAAATCAGCTCAGAGTGCTGGCAGAAGAGAACAATTTGTTTCACAGAATATCTAATTCATGGATACCTGTCAGAATTTAATGAGCTGCCTTCAGTTGCTTGAAAACCTCTTTCAGATTGCAGAGCGTGAACCTTTTCAGAAACTAAAAGTTTGTCTTACATTATGCTGCCATTTACAAACTTCCTTCTCCCACACACAACCTTCCTCTAGGTGTTTCTGACACACATGAGAAGATATTACTGTATATATTTGAAATAGCTATCTCGATGATAATGATGATGTATTCTTTTGCATTTTCACTGATTTATTACGAGGACCGACTGAAAAGTTATGTGATTGTTGAAGTGTTGCAGGAGCACTGGGAGCTGTGTATAACTGTACAGATGAACTACTTCAACAGGAAGGGCTGCCAAATTTAAATCAGGTACAGTTTTTGATTTTGAGCAAATATATTGTTGACTTCGGATGCTCCCCGGTTTAAAAAGGGCCTCATGCTCAGTGCTACTCACCCAAAATAGGCTCCATCCCGATCGATGAAGTAGCGTCCCTCAGCATCACGCGGGATGTAATGACGCCCGCTGAACATGGCAGCCAACATGGTGTCCTCGTACCGCCGCAGCGTGGACAGGCGAGTGGTGAAGTACGTTCCCCCGACATTCAGAGAGATGACCTCTGGAAACTTCAAGAAAAACAAGTGGAAGACTATGATGTTTTTGACAAACCATAAAAACCAAGTATTGAATGGAGGAAAAATGGCAATCCAAACTATTCTTTGCTGGATAATTCACAAAACCTGTACCAATCTGAAGATACAAATGTGTTGCAAGATGTGAGAAATCTATCTCAAGAAGTGTATACACTGTAATAACACACAGTTTAAAAATTAGAAACAAAGATAAAGGCACAACTAATCATGACACTGATTTTAGGAAATGTTGCTCAGCCTTGACACTAAACGAGCAACAAATGCATACTTAGATTGACTTGAACTCATCTGGGACTCCAGTTTAAAACAAGTGGGTGACTTCAGGGTGGATCGATATCATAACCAGAGTACAACAACTGTTTATTACATTTAGTTTGGTGTTTGGTCGAGCGATGCTAATCGATTTTAATGGGCTAAATTTTAGATGTAAAAACATTTTGGTAATCTGATGAAAGCTAAATTGTTTTAAAGGGGTGTATTTAAAATGCACTACTTCTGGAAGATGTGTTTTATCTGACTAATATCATATCAATGTAATCATATGTCTGTCACAGTGTAGGTAGATTTAAAATAATATTTCCAGATTTATAAATACCTTAGCCTCTCAGTCCAAGTGCCTATCGAACCACTAAACATCCTCTGTGCTGTAAGAAAGTAATACAAGTACTGAAAACATTTTAAAACAGATTCAAACTGTGTGTGTTATCTGTTTGATCAACCATTTGCTGTAGGATATGAAGACTTAACTTGTGTATATACACAGTTGACTGGTTTGTGTTTACTGGACTTTAAATAAAGACAAATGCAGTGGTTAAAAACTATATACATGTTTCTTATTTTCCCCATTTGTAACTGGAAACACCGATATTCTGTTCATACCAGAAATTGAAATATATAATATCTACCATATCAGATAACAGAAAATTATTTGCATGATTTTTCAGTGCTGTTTGAAGGCATTATCAGTCAGTCACTAAGTTTTTGTTTAACCCATAACTATTAGTAACCTTTTCCATGATACTATCCAATTCTGGTACTTTTTTTTTGTACGGAATTTTAGGTACAAGCTGTGGAAATATATGTATCTGTTTGGTTCCTGCTTGTAAACAGCTTTTACTTTGTTTTTAACCTTGCATACTCTGAACAACCAACTGATCATAAAGACATTTGCAGGTTGCAGCCTAATAGTTCTCCTTTGTTGGAATAACACTACCTTGTCCAAGGTATGATGCTTTTTAATGACCTGATAAAAACTGAATAAAATGTTTGCAACAAATGAGCGCAATACAAACTAAAACAAATCAGATCTTCAACCTAGACTTTGACACAGGGTCACATTGCAAGACTGCTAATGGGCGACCCGTCAGAGCTGATGTTGTAGTTCCAATTGGAGACAAATCTGCGATTCCTCCAATGACACAGACCTAAATAATATGGAGTGAACTTGACTGTTGGGGCCTCTGGGGGTCTGGGGCCTCTTGGCAGTTTAGTGACCTAGATATCACAAGAGCACAGTTTAAACAAAAATTATATTTTCATATGTCTTTGGTCTGTTCAGGCAGCTGCCAGTTCACTGTGACACGCTGCAGAAATAAGAGGATAACCCTGCTGCAGCCATGTTTAAATCCATCATGTGACATGTGTGTCGGTCCAATCAGGTCTCAGCAGCTCAGCCAACCTCTGACCTGTGTGTAAATACCCCCACACAGCAGGCAGTGCCAATATTTGGCAGTAATATTATGTTTTATGGTCACAATCAATGGCAGCTTCAACAGACAAACTTATTTACGTGTACTTGCAGTTTCCCTACTTTAGTTGATTTTATACTTGATATGGAGGGTGCCGTTAACGATCAACAAGTATGACTGTGGATACTGGGTTTTAAAACGTTCTGTTTGGAGCTCAGCATTATCCCTGCGTCTTTTCCTTGCTTGTAAAAGTGGTTTAACGTGTTTAGTTTCTATCTGGAGGGAGGGTGCAGTTTAACTTAACTCCAATGTTTAGCATGCTGAGCGTTTACAGCTACTGCTAAGTTTCAACTCTATTCAGTAGGCGGACTTTTACATAGACAGTACAGTTAAAAAAAGCAGCTTTCATTCTCACAAAAACCACATTACACCACAGACATGCAAGTATAATAAAATATTCCTAGTAAAATACATTAAGAGTGATACTTATAAAGAAAGAGCAAGCACAATTAGTTAAAAATGACTCAATCTGTCTTTAGCTTACACTTATCTTCTGTATATCTAGTCTAAATGTGGAGGCTGGGAATTAAAACCTTGCTGTTTGGAGCTTAATATTATTATGTGTTGCTTCTTGCTTGCAAAAGCAGTTTATTGTGCTTAATTGCGTTTGGAGGGAGGGTGCAGATCAACTTAACCCCAATACAGAGCACTTTGAGTTTATAGCTGAAGATAAATTTCAACTCTGGTCAGTAGTCAGGCTTTAACATACACAATGCAGACATGAAAATGCAATAAAACACATATAAATATATTAATTTTGTTGGGTAAAAACAGGTGCAATTATTAAACATGACTACAGTTAAGCTAAGCAACTCAAACTTGCTAACTACAAACATGTCCACATTTAGACATGTTGTAATACAGTGTTACCGTTTTGCTGATTGGAGCATATTATTACACAGGTTGTTTGCTAGCTTTACAAGTGGTTAATGGAGTTTTATTTTTATTTGCTGGGGAGGGCTCAGTGTACCACAACTCTAATACAGAGTATATTAAGAGTTTATAGCTATTGCTATTTTTTATTTAACTTTTGTCAGTAGTTGGGCTTTTAATTACACAGTAGAGACATGAAAGTGCAATATAATACTCAGAATAAAATATCTAAGTTGTGGTGGGTAAGAAGGAAACACAAGCGTTATTAATGATAATGACTACAGCTGTGCCTTTAGCTGAGCCTAACTGACTAGCTAACTACAAACGAGTATAACAGCCATACAGTATTTCAGTTTGGAGTTAAATATTATCTCAGTGTTGTTTGTAAAAGAGATTAAACGTGTTTTTTCCCCGTGTTAAAAGCGGCCTACCTCCTGCTCCTGGGCGCTCAACGGGGGCCGGAGCGGCTTGCTCAGGGCGAGGCTTGGTGTCGGGGAGGCCGGCTTTCGGAACTCGTCCTCCGCAGAGTCCGAGCTGGACATGGCATCGCCCGGTTTCTCGGTGTCCCCCGCGGCCGAGAAAACCACCATCACTCTGGGTAGCGGCAGCGTCCGTCTCTCCTGAATGAACCGTCTCACCCGCGTCGTGGCGGCGGGCAGCGGGCTGAAGGACAGCGCCTGTCGGTCCCTGCCGCCGCCGCCGCCGACACCGCCGCCACCGCCACCGCTGCCGCCGCTGCAACCGTCCGAACCGTTGGAGCCGCTCGAGCCATTCTGCTGCATGCGCGCGGCGGGCCCGGCTCTCCGCACGAGACGAGGGGAGGATCGCACGAGCCACACGGTCGGTGAGAACGACAACAACAGCGGCGGAGGGTGTGGCTCGAGCCGCCGCCGCCGGAGCTCAGCCCGCCTCTCACCCGGCTGCAGCGGAGGCAGTGGAGCTCCGCCTCCGGTGATGGAACCGTAAACACGCGGCAGGGAGTAAATGCTTAATACCTGAAACGGTCGTTAGCAAGCCGGCTAATGTTAGCTGGGCCCGTGAGGTGTTTGGAACGTACGTGCTCTGGCGTGTTGCGTCATCACGTCAGGTCTGGACCGAAAAACTTTCTTTTAAAATCAGAAATAAGTAACAGTTTATTGGAAATGGGCAAAACTGATAATTCTAATATTATTAACAATCAGCTTTGTGATTGCTCTTATCTGTTTATTTGCTCTTTTTATTTATTTTTTTATTTATTTTTAAAAAAATTCATAATATACAAAATAAACATTCTTACTTAAATTAACAAAAATTACAGACAAAAACAACAATAAAAAAAGCACATATCAAACAATAAGTGCACACACACCAAATTAAAATACAAAGAAAATCATCAAATGGACATACAGGAATAGATATTGCATTACAGCTTTTTTTATTTATTTATTTTTTGTACACACACTTTATGTCATCATGAATATAATTTACCCTATTTTATTGTATTTTATTACATATTTGATTATAGCTATATTATTCTTAGTATTCCTTGTTTCTCTTTGTATTTTATTCTTTTTATTTTTTATTCTTCGCTATTAAGCTCCAAACCTACCTTTCAGTTTTACGTCCCTTTTATTTTAAAGAATTTTCATTTTTACATCTATTGGTGACCCATACTGGATAGGTCATCATAATATTTTTACTGTCCTAATACTTTTTTTATTTTCCATTTTCCTTAATGTTTCTATATGTAATTTTATTTCAATTAAAAATGTATTGAATTTGGGGAGCGTTTTTGACTTTTGTTTTGTTATTAATATCTCTGCAAATTGACCTTTCAATACATAATGATAAAGCAGGATAAACAAATCTTGAAATACCCTCAGCTTTCATCAATAATACCCGACCATATATAGATAGGTCTCTCTGCAACCACATGTTAAGAATGGATTTTGTTAATAGTATCTTGCGAGAAAGGTTTAACAACTGCCTTTGAGCAGGATTTTTTGTAATATAAAGTCCCAGATATCTCACACACTCTTTGATTGGAACATTGCAATATGCCGTTTCATTTGTTTCATATAAACACAATATCTCGCTCTTTGTAATTTTCAGTCTAAGCCCAGATGCATCTGAAAATTCTTGGGTTATTTGAAGAGCCTTCTGCACTTCAGCCTTTAAGAAATAACACCGTGTCGTCCACCAGTTGCGTAATTTTGATTTCACGCTGGAAAATCCTTTGTCCAGTTAAATTGTGATTGTGCTCTATATGTAAAAACAGAAGTTGAGCAGCAATGAGAAACAAAAAAGAACTTAAGGGGCATCCTTGTCTTCCCCCTCGTAATACAGGGGAATGTTTTGAGACATTTGGGTACAGTGACACAGCACTAGAAATTCCTTTATAAAGCATGCCGACATTACACACAAAATTCTCTCCAAACCCAAACATCTTTAGAGTCTCCAATACAAAGGAATGTTGAATAGAGTCGAAAGCTTTATAAAAATCCAAAAATAGAAGCACTGCATCAGATTCAAAATGATCTGAGTCGTCCATTAAATCTAATATTAATCTTATATTTGAGCTTGATTTCACTCAACTATATTTATTTGACAGCTGGTTTCTGGCCGCTGAGGAGATTATCAAGTTTCAGTATAACGACAACAAATATGCAATAAACTTGTTAAACGGTTTATATTCATCAGTGTTTGAGGCCCAAAAGATCAATGTCTTTGTTCCTAATATATATCAACAAAAAAAGACAAACAACATACAAAAAAAGGTAGGAAAAGCCTGAAACATCTGATTAATAATGCCACAATTCCTCAAATTTATCTTGAAGAGGGTCTGACCTTTGATTTGGAACCACTGGACTAAACTGCTGAACTGTACATACAGTAGATTGTTAGCAGTTAATTAGCAACAACAACAAAAAGCGGATGAGACACAGATGAATCAGTTTCAACAAGCAACTTCTTTATCCGGTTCAACAACAACAGCACACCAACCACCTGGACCCCTGTAACTCTCAGTTCCCCCCACCCAGCCCTCACCATTGATGAACAGCTGGTAACCTCTAGTCTGCGCAGAGAAAACCCTAACAAAGCCACTGGCCCTGACAGGGTGCCCAAGGAATGCCCCACATAGCTAGGTGGGGTGGCTGTTCCAACACCTACTGGACTCTGGCATAGGCCCCAGACAGGGGAAGGAATCGATCATCATTCCAGTCCCAAAAAGACAAGGCCAAAGGATCCGAAGGACTACAGGCCAGTAGCCCTGACATCAGTGTTCTGTAAATGTATGGAGAAAACAGTTGGTGACCTACTGTTAGGTGATCTGTTGGACAAACTGGGTCCATTCCAGTTTGCCTACAAGTGAAAAAGAGGCACTCAGGATCCTCAACACAGTAACCAAACAACTGGACTCTACACACCCACATACAGCCGGTCGAGGCAGATGGCCGTCCCTCCCTGAGCCTGGTTCTGTCGGAGGTTTTTTTTCCCCTGTGGGGGTTTTCGGTTCCTTCCCACTGTTGCAGACTGCTTGCGGACTGCTGAAGCTTATAGGGAATCCAAATGTTTTGGATTGTTGGGTGTTTCTGTCTCTGCCTTTGTGAAGCGCTATGAGATGACTGTTGTTGTAAATATGCGCTATACAAATAAAATTGAATTGAATTGAATTGAATTGAATTGAATACAAGGATTTCATTCATTTAACTTTTCATCTGCTTTTTAACACCATAAATAATAACCCTCTGCTACACCGCCTCTCTGACCTCCAGGCCCACCCCACTCTGATTTTATGGATAAAGGAATTTTTTAAAGGACAGACCACAGCATGTGCTTTTTAATGGTTTCACATCTGGTACATTGACATTAAAGACAGGGCTGCCCCAGGGCTGTGTCCTGTCACTCAGATGATATGGCCTGGTAGCCAACCCTACTGACACCCTGACACAATACAAGCAGGAAGTTCACACCCTGGTTCAACGCTTTGCCGGAAGCTCACTTGAGCTGAACATCACAAAAACCGAGGAGCTCTGCTGTGGGTACATGGGGAAAAACCCAGCGGATCTGCTTGTACCTCTCAGCATCCAGGGTCAGTTGGTGGAACAGGTACAGAGTTTTAGATATCCCGGAACAGAGATCGGTACCTGTCTGTCCTTCTCACAACATGCTGACTGTGTCTATTGTGTCTATTGTATTGTTCATTTTTCGGGAGATTGAACAGAGTAAGAATTTCATTGTGTAGTACAACTACCTGTTTTGCTGTGCATATGACAATAAAACTCTTGAATCTTGAGAAAAGCACAACAGCGTCTCCACCTGCTCAGAAAACTGAAAACTCTTAACTTCAGCAAAGACATTTTAACTCTGGTGTACAGATCACTCATTGAATCCATCCTCAGTTACAACATTTCATCCTGGTTTGACTTTCTCACTGCCAAATATAAAGCAAAATGTTCATAATATTAATAATAATATTGATATCAATAAGAACACATGGACTTTTTTTCCTCCTTTAAACTGTTGTTGACTGTGTTTTTGTCAGTGTGCCTGCAAGTGGTTCTTAATTATGTTTTAATGCTTCATTGAGCAATTTTAAAGATGAATTTCTGTTTTTTCCTCAAGACAGACAATAAAACATCTATCTATCTATCTATCTATCTATCTATCTATCTATCTATCTATCTATCTATCTATCTATCTATCTATCTATCAGTAATGTCAGTGAATGTGAAACAGCCATGACAAACACATGCCCAGTAAAACGTGTGCTGGCTCTCTTGTTCCTGCTGCTGTCGGGTCACTCTATACAGTCTGTCTGAATGCTAACAGGCTCCAGGTCTGCTGTGGTAATTCCATTAAACATTCATTTGGTGATCACAGACTTTGGTTAATGAGGGAAAGAATGAGATCAGAGAAACTGCTGCTCTGTTAGATGAGGTGGTTCAGGCATCTATTGACTGAATCCCTGTGGAGGTATTTATATTCATCTGAAAAACCCACAACATGTTTGATGGAAACACTGTTTGCCATTAGAGGAGGGAAAGGGATGCATGGCTTCAGTTGTTTGGCCTTCGAGTAAATATGATTATGAGAAAATAGATGAATGTACATTAACAGTAAAACACCAAAGTTATATAAGATACAAAAGAAAAATGGAGTAATTAAGAAAATTGTGCTTTTTCCTGTAAAGTTAAATGAAAAGATTGAGACCTTTATGCTAATTTCAGTTCTTTCTTTAGTTTAAAGCCACTGACTACATGAACCAAGCACACAACAGTATTATGTTTGACCCAGTAACGGTTTATAATGTCTGCATGGAACATAAGTAACCCGGTTACTCTCCTGCTTCGTTGCTTCATCATTAATGATCATTTTCCTCATGTGCAGCACAGATCTCTACAGAAATGAAATAAAGATCTATTCATTTATGAAGCTTACAGGGTCCAGTCTACCTCACATTGGACCTATACAGTGTATAAAAATAGTTGAATTTAACTGAATTTAATTGTTTTTTCCTTACTCTTTTACAGATATTTTTGCATTTTTAAAATACACAAAAATTGTAAATAAAATTACAAAAATGGACGGTGAATTTACATGTCTAACATGGAATAACATTAAAAAAATCAGTAACTTCTATTAATTGAAAAATCCATGTTTGTTTGTTTGTTTGTTTACATCAGCTAAAATACCAAATTTTTTCTTTTTAATTTAATAGATGAAACCACATTTGAAATCAAGCTTAATATTGTAAATATTTTTCCTAAATTAGATACAATTCATGACAATAAACAGAAAAGGATGTATTGCTTCTGTAATTTTACATAGATTTGTTTGTTAAGTGAAAGATATCTTGTAGAATTACGGATGTTTGCCAAACAAAAATGTTGAATTAAGTGTTTTCATCAGCACACAGTATCTAGAAGCACCGGCAGTCTGTCAAAATACAGTTTTTACAGTTTCAGTATATATAATTGTTCTTATCTATCAATCAGTCTATCATTAATATATGTTACAGGTCATTTATTGTTTTTATACATGTAAATAGATTTTTATTAAACATTAAAAAGACAAAAAATAAAAACAATCTAATGTAAAAGTAAAAGTAGAAAATGTATTTTAATTATGAAAAACTACTTTATATTTATGAATTGATTTTTTCTGTTATCTTACAGTTTTTTTTTCTTACAATTTTAGCAGAGCATCTATGATTTTTTACTTGTTTTCATACAGCAGCTACTTAACCCTGCATGTTCCTCACGTATGCCAGTTTTAGGCTTGATGCACCTTTAAATAGAATGAACTGAAAACTGCTGTGAAACTTCCCCTTCAGTCCCCTCTGTGGTGCTAAACCCTTATTATCTGATTGTTTTTAAAACTTTGTGGTTGTTTTTTTTTTTAACCAATGTTATTTATTTATATATTGCATAACTTTCACACATCTAAATCGTCCGTAGGTGTGAATGTGAGTGTGCTTGGTTGTCTGTCTCTAAGTGTGGCCCTGCGATGGACTGGTGACCTGTCCAGGCTGTCCCCTGCCTTCGCCCTAAGTCGGCTGGGATAGGCTCCAGCCCCCCCACGACCCTAATGAGGATTAAGCGGTGTATAGATAATGGATGGATAACTTTCACACAAGTGCAATATCTTTCACACAATGCTGCAAATTTTTTATTTTTTTTTATGAGCTACACTAAACTTAAATCAGGTGAATGTCTAGAACTGTTTATGTGAACATTGTTTTGAAGGAATCTTTCTCTTAAGTGTATATCTGAGCTCCTCTGAAATTTTGTTGTGTATCTTGACACAATGCCAATATTGTGATCTTGAATCTTGAATTTGTTCCTTTTTTTTTTTTTTTTTTTTTAAACGGCATTTGCTGATTTCAATCTCAGTGAGACTGTCTGACTAAATAAGGCTTTAACAATATGTGATTCTTTAACGGCACTGTGAGCAAATAGGTCAGTAAAGCAGGAAAACGTCAGGTTGTTGGAGCATCAACCTGAACTGAGTGACCTCTTTAGTCTGACTTTGACTATGAAGTGTGCTGTTGTAACATATTTGTATTGGTAATATACATTTCTAGAACAATCTATCAGTAAATTGCATATTCATTGTAAAGAAATTGATTGTGTATATGGTACACTTATATACTGTATNAGGGTGTCCCCTGCCTTCACCCTAAGTCGGCTGGGATAGACTCCAGCCCCCCCGCGACCCTAATGAGGATTAAGCGGTGTATAGATAATGGATGGATATCTTTCACACATGTTGCAATTTTTTTCTTTTTTTTTTTATGAGCTACACTAAGCTTAAATCAGGTGAATGTCTAGAACTGTGTATGTGAACATTGTTTTGAAGGAATCTTTCTTTTAAGTGTATATCTGAGCTCCTCTGAAATGTTGTTGTGTATCTTGACACAATGCCAATATTGTGATCTTGAATCTTGAATTTGTTCCTTTTTTTTTTTTTTTTAAACAGCATTTGCTGATTTCAATCTCAGTGAGACTGTCTGACTAAATACGGCTTTAACAATATGTGATTCTTTCACAGCACTGTGAGCAAATAGGTCAGTAAAGCAGAAAAACATCAGATTGTTGGAGCATCAACCTGAACTGAGTGACCTCTTTAGTCTGACTTTGACTATAAAGTGTACTGTTGTAACATATTTATATTGGTAATATACATTTCTAGAACAATCTATCAGTAAATTGCATATTCATTGTAAAGAAATTGATTGTGTATATGGTACACTTATATACTGTATATTGGTGATTATATATTGATGCATGTTTTGTATTAAATCTGTTTATTATATATAGGACCATGTAATATGATAGTGAATCATAGGGTGACAGGGGAGTGGGTGTCAATAAGTTCAGACTTCTACGAATTCATGTTTGTACATTTTTTTCCTTGTTTTTTTATTTTGTATTTAATATACAATATTATATATTATATTTGTTTGAAATAAATATTTCATTCATTCATTGACTTTAGTCCCTCAGAACCAGCTGTTCACTGCTGTCGGATCAGAGCATCAGTCAGGCCTTTACTTGACATTCAGCAGCAGAGATGTGGTGAAGCAATGTGCCGTAGAAGTCCGGCCGGGCTGCAGTCAAACCCTGCTGCTGATGCATCCTGAAAGTAGATCAGATTGCGATTTTAGCTCAGCTTGAACCAAATACGTCAAATCTGAGCTGGTTGGATGCACTTTAACTTTGCAGGTCAGAATACTGATGCCTGTTGTTTAAGCGCTTGTTACTGGAGCACAAAATGGAGCAAGAAGCTGGTCAGAGTGATTTTGTGTGTGTGTGTGTTCACTTGAAACCACACAGAAATTACAGATGTGTGTTAAACGGATGTGGGGAGGTGCTGAAAGAGGAAGCATGGCTCAAAGTCTCTGAGCTGCTGTCGCTGTAGCTGCGAAACTGCAGAAGAATGAAGGCAGCCGGACCACTGAAGGTAACACATGAAATAAGAAATACTGTATTTATGAGCTGCGTGTCGTACTGGTTTGTAAATTTTATTAATAGCATCTTAAATGTGAGAACTTGTGTTTGACCCGACAGGATGGTTGAACAAAGTCAGATAAAATAAACGCAAATCTATTAGTCAGGGTCATTTCAACGCATCCAAAAACCACAGACAGATGAAGCGGTAACACATGTATTTGTACTTCTATGAACTTTTACTTTACTCCTTTTTTCTCCAAAGAAAATTATGCTTGTACCCCTTTACGGTTATCTGACATTTTAAGATTTTACATATTAAACACGTGACCAGCTCATAAAAAAGATGAATCATTTGACTTTTTTTGTCGTTTGAACTTTGCTGCGTTTCAACCAGCTGAGGGATACGTTACCATAAAATCATGTCATATATTTACGATGTTTTTCTGCTTCTACTCAAGTAAAATATCTTTTTTTTTTTTTTTTTTTAATTAGTGCTGAAAATTGAACGATTTCAAATTTAGTGCAATTTGTGCTTTTATCAAACCCAAAAGTTATTTGATAATGCTTTAAAACTCTACGTTGTTCCTGTACCAACTGTACGTATCAGTCAAGTACTTAGTGTCCTGGTGTTTTCTAGTAAGGAAGGAAGGAAATAGAGGGGAAAAAAGGGAACAAGACAAAAAATACTTTGTAACTTATCAAGTACATGTTAAACCAGGAAGTGCAGAAAAAACTCCGAAAGTTTAGCGGCTACGGCCTTGTTACCTAAAAAATATTCATTGATCAAATTTATATGGTGCTTTTCTAGGCACTCAAAGACGCTTTACACTGTTAATTATTTATTCATTCATTCTGGTGGTGGTAGCTACGATTGTTGCCACAGCTGCCCTGCGCCTACGGCCCCTCCGACCACTACCTCAAACAATCCATTCATACAATCACACCAGGCAAGGTGGGTCAAGCGTCTTGTGCCCAAGGACACGGCGACCATGACGGAGGTTACAGGGCAGAACTGAACCACCGACCTGCCGATTGTTGACCAACTCGCTCTACCACCTGAACCACAGCCGCCCTAAAAATGACAATACACATAGAAAAAATAGCTCAAGTACAGTAATTACTTGTACATGCTTGTACTTAAATTCCACTTTGTGAAGTTTTAATACTTGGGCAATGAACAAAAAGTGTGGGAGAGATGTATTTTAAGAACATTCAGGATTTAAAGTGTCTATCTGTTTGTTCAATACTCCAAAAAACAGATGTGAAAAAAAAAGCTAGTGAGCAATAAAGAATAACTGTTAGAAAATGATTTAAAATATACAGTATAAAAAGTTCAAATGTATGTAAAATAAGTGTTAAAACACGACAGCGGATATGGAATCTTTGTATCCGTGCAGTTTTTAATGTGTAAAATATGTACTTATCGTGAAAAGGGAAACATTTTATTGAATAGGTATTAACTGTTAACCTTTAGATTTTCTATGTTTTGTCTAATTACAGATAGTAATTAGTAAAATCACAGAATAAAGTGTCAATCTATATGTTAACAGTAAAAAAAACAAAAAACGAAACAAACAAAAAAAACATTCACATCAAAAACCTGTTTTTGAACAAGTGGTGTTTTATTCTTTTATACTGTCTGACTTCAAAATAACACTGTTTTTTTACTGTATTTAAATCAGCAAAACACACACACACACACACACACACACACACACACACACACACACACACACATATATATATATATATATATTAAAATAGATATTTGTCATTATTTCAATATAAAATATGAAGTATTTAAAAATGGCAAATAATTCTTTAACTGTTATTCCCTGTTTTGTGAAATAACAGATAATAACTAGTAAAATCTGAGAAAAAGTATACAAACAAACAAACAAACAAACAAACAAACAAACAAACAAATAAAAGCAGGCCCAATCCCGCAAAGAAAAATGTCCACCTCAAAAATATGTAGTTTTACAGTAAAAACAGTTAAACAGTAATTGTTTTTTTTTAACATTCTGTAACTACAAAGTCACACTGTTTTACTGGATATAAATCAAATAGAAATATTCTTTTGTAGGTTTTTGCCTGTATCTTAATATCTTTTACAGTTTTTGAATGGTACAGTATTCCACTTTTTTTTGTTACATATTTTTTCGTGTACACTTGCTGCCAGATTTTCAATTGTATTTTTTCATAGCATGTATGTCACAGCTTCAATTTGTTTTGATGAAATAAGTTCCACCTGGAGTCCAGCATTGGAGTCCTGCTACTTTAAAGGACATTTTAATTAAACTTTATGATCATTTCTCAGTCAGGAGGCCACAAAGAGAAATGTAGTTCTTATCAGCGTACTGCCAAAAAATTCAACTGTAATCTTTTCCAAACATTACTGATTACTGTTGTTGCCAAAGTTGATGTTATTGTCTGTCGTTCCGTTGGTCACAGCTTCAGACAGAGTTTCGTTGTTGTTTCGTCCAAACACTAAAACTAACAGACACAACAGTTCTGCCATGAAGTGAACGTTTTCTGCAGCAGCGTTCAGTGACAGCATGAAGGAAAATGTACTGCAGTCTGACTGCGATGGAAAACCAACCACCTACTGCACTTTCCACTGAGACCAAAACACTGCAACACTGTGTCGGGGGGAAAGAATGACCTCAGAGGTCGAATAAACAACTCATGTGCATGATTTAACAACACAGCCTGGTTGGTATTGTTTAAGAGTGTTAAGAAGCTGCATGTTGATTCTAAATTGTCCGTAGGTGTGAATGTGAGTGTGCTTGGTTGTCTGTCTCTAAGTGTAGCCCTGTGATAGACTGGTGACCTGTCCAGGGTGTCCCCTGCCTTCACCCTAAGTCAGCTGGGATAGACTCCAGCCCCCTGCGACCCTAGTGAGGATTAAGTGGTGTATATATGATGATGGATGGAAAAAGCTGCATGTCTTTATACAAACTTTATCACTGGCTTATTTACATTGCATAGTTGCAGTAAATGTTTGAATTTCAGCCATTTATTATTGAGTAAGGATGCCATTTGTGTACCCAGTTTGTGCATCAAATTTAACTATATCTACTGTGTATGTATAAATATATATATTTTTAACCTTTATTTAACCAGGGTAAGACCCACTGAGATCCAGGATCTCTGTTACAAGGGTGACCTGGCCAAGAAGGGAGCAGCACAGGTCAAGTATATATAGCAAGATAATTAAAAACCAATGCAAAGAAACAGATAAAATGTTCAGATATATAAAATTAGATGAGTTGACTCAAATTTTACAAATCGAAGACATACTTGAAAATAATGCAAATTTTGGCATTTTAAAGTGCAGGAGTCGAAGAGCAAATACATCAAAAATATGAGCACTGACTAGTTTTCTCACATTGCCTCTCTTGTAGAATTTTACTAAGTGCTTCAGGTACAGTTAACTCTGGCAGGTTTAGGTCTTTCTGCAGTTCATTCCATGCAGCAGGGCAGCAAACTCAAGGCTTTTTTCCTCAGCTCAGTGCGGACATGTGGAACGGTCGAAAGAAAACCATCACTTGACCTCAAGGAACAGTTTCTTTTGTGTCTTTGGAGAAAAATACTCAAATAAGGAGGGCAGAAAGTAGAAATCCCAGGTACTTGTAGCTTGAAACATGTTCAATTTAAACACCCTGAGAGGTCACAATATTTGGGAGGTTTACTGTAACCTTGTATTTGTAAACAACATAAGTTATTTAGTATTTTTTTTCTGAGTTTAAGACCAGTTTTTAAGCTCTGCAGACGAGACTGAACAACACTGAAGGCTGACTGTAAATATTCAAAAGCCAGTGTGACAGAAGTAGAGCAGCAATAAAGCATTTTGTTCATAATTTAATGAATCTGTTTGTTTAAATCCCCATTAATGACTGTAATCATTTTTCAGAGGTTCATTTTTACAAGGCTTTGATGAAAAACAATAACAGCATTTTAATAAGGCGTAACATTACCGTGAACTGAGACAACAAAACAACAGCAAAACAAAGCAAAATAGGTACCTCAACATAATACAACTGCTTTTTTTTAAAATAAACTTATATTCCCTAACACCAGATACAGCAGCTCTGTGCTTGTAAGTCCGATATTTAGCTTCTACAGTTCTTCAGCAGATGAATGAAAACGTGATTTTCTCCTTTTTGCAGTTGAAAATCTCCTCAATAATTTACTTTTCTTTGTAATAAATGAGCTCTACATGCAGCAATCTGAAGTAATTTATAAAGTAATAAACGTATCGACACATTGCTGTAAATAATAAATGTCGTTTTAAATATTTAAATCCAGAGTGTGGTGCTGCACGGCTACTATTTCCTGCTTTCAAAAACCTTCTGCACTGTACAGTGAGGGAAAGAAGTATTCATGATTCTGGCCACAAACGAGAAAACAGTCAGTCTGTCATTTTAATAGGGGGTTTATTTTAACTGTAAGAGGCAGAATATCAACAAAAAACATCCAGAAAAACACATTATCTAACAGTTTTCAGTCGATTTCAAGTTGATCAAGGGAAATAAGCATTTGATCCCCCAACAAAACACGAGTTGGTACTTGTTGGTGACCACAGATGTCGGTCGTTTCTTGTAGTTGGTCATCAAGTTTGGACACATCTCAGGAGGTATTTCAGACCACTCCTCTTTACAGATTCTCTCCAGATCCCTAATGTTCTGAGGTTGTTGCTTGGAAACGTGAAGCTTCAGCTCCCTCCATTGATTTTCTATAGGATTAAGGTCTGGAGACTGGCTAGGCCACTCCATGACCTCAACATGTTTCCTCTTGAGTCACTCCTGTGTAATCTTGATCGCATGCTTTCGGTCAATATCTTGCTGGAAGACCAAACCCATAACCTATTTTAAATGCACTGGCTGAAGAAAGGAAGTTTTCGCTCAAGATTCCTCAGTACCTGGCTTCATTCACTGTTCCCTTGACGCAGTGCAGTCGTCCCATGTCCTTGGAAGAGAAACAGCCCCAAAGCATAATGGTTCCATCTCCAGCCCCTGACTGTGGTGTTCTTAGGGGTTTTAATCAGTATTTTTCTCTCTCCAAACACCAAATTAATGCAAAAGAGCTCGATTTTGGCCTCATCTGACCATATCAAATGCTCGTAAACTTCAGAGGATCCTGTTACATGTGCCGTCTTGAGCATGGGGACCTTGCGGGCGCTACAGGATTTCAAACTATTATGATGCAGTGTGTTACCAATGGCCGACTTGGTGGCTGTAGTCCCAGCAGCTTGGACCTTTTCTCAGCATAATACATTTTTAAGATTTAAATCTAATTGTATTTATCCTGTTTAAACTACCACATGGCTGCTGCTACTAGTGTCCTGTTGTTGCTACCGTTCTGTATCCAACTGCTCTACGTGCCTTAAATTGCCTCCAATGGACAAAGTTGTTTTTTTAAAATTGAACTTAATTGAATTGAGATCACTACAAGGTTCCGCTCGTGTAGTTCTGGGATCGTCCTCGACCTTTCTGATGATCAGAGATACGGCACGAGGGGAGATCTTGCATGAAGCTCCAGATCGAGGGTGAATGGTCAGAATTCTTTCACATATGTAGTCAGTTCAGATTATTAGTTTTTGAAGCAGAATGAGCTCATTTGTGTGCCTTCTGGCCACATCACTGATCTGTGGGAAGCAGAATCCTTATTGGTAGGAAGGTGATCAAACACTTACTTCCTTTGATCAACTGGAAACTAAGGTATAACTGCTAGATAATGTGTTTTTCTGGATTTTTTTTGGTTGATATTCTGTCTCTTACAGTTAAAATAAACCTACTGTTAAGATTATAGAGGGCTCGTTTTTTTGTGTGTGGCCAAAATCATTAAACATGGAGGAGGTCAACTGTTTATGGTAACATTTAGATGAATTTAACCCTGACATGTCTCTTCTTGTAAACAGTTTTCTCACAGTCTGATTTAATCTGCAGCTTTGTCGAGCCGAGTTGAGCAGTTTTCTGTACCATCTCAACGTGGTTATTCACGCTGTTAATTCGGGTTAAATGAAACGTATTCTGAAAGGTGCTGACCAGGCAGCTGCAGGAAAAAGAAACTGAAGCGATGTGGTCGGTGAGAAAAAGTTTTCTGGGTCAGTATCGATAACGAATCTCAGCTTGTTGGTCTTTGATCTTAACATACCAGAGAGACGGTTCGTCCAACGCTGCAGATACAGATGAATGCAAACAACTATGTGTAAATGAACTGTCCTGCGTTCACATGGTTTTACTGTATTCTTGGTTTGGGCTGAGCGATGGCTGCATATGTAGGTGTGAGTCACGCACACAAGTCGCATTTCAGTTTTGTTTTGTCCGACCACATCCTCTAGTTCGCTGTCTGTTAACAAGAAACAGCAGCTGCTTCAGGTGTGACGAGTTACTGCTGACCAGCAAAGCTCTCATTAATATAATTAACACTGAGCAGGTTGTTTGTGTGACTCTACAGGTCATTTTCTTTCTTTTTCAGGTATGACAGTGAGCTCCAGTGTGCTGGTTGTAGTCCTGACGGTTATGTCAGTGGCGTCACTCAGTCTGATGTCGCTGCTGTGTCTGCGATGCAGAAGAAAATCCAGTAAGTACATTTCTCAGACCAGTGTGGCCGCGTCTGATCTTATCTCAGCGAGACTAGTAGCAGCAGTTCAGTAAGAACAACTCAGTGTGAGTCACATGTTGCCTACAAGCACATAAAGGCGCCAGGCAGCATCTCACACTGAGCTTTTCAACCAGCTTTCCGCTCTTGGGTCAAAAAAAAAAAAAAGGTTCTCTGTACCATCATCACACCGTTAATAAGATAAGACATAAGATAAGATATGCATTTATTTATCTCACAGTGGAGAAATTCACGATAGAATAGAAGGAGAAGAGCCTCAAGGAACTGTTTGAGGTTCCTCATCATTTGCACTGCAGAGGAACCTTTAAAATACCCTTCAGGATGGTTTTTAAAGGAACTATTTTGTAGCGTCTGGGGCTCCACTTCGAACTTCCTTCTTCTTTTTTAACATTATTGTGATTTTTCCTCCCAAACATATGAAAAAATAAGCAATACTATGCAGTAACTAAATAAAATGGAGTCACGTTTGTTTTTATTCTCACATTTGAGCAAATAGGGACCTTGACACTATTATTGAAAGTGAGACACATGAATATCTGAAGTGGTTCAAAAACGTTCTGTAATTTAATTCCAAATAAAAATCCTCAGAATGATTTTTAATGTATAATTGAGTTCAGTGTCTCTGCCACAGCATCAACACTGAATTGTGACTTTGTCTCTCAGACACCAGCAGAATACGTACAGATTGTGTATATGATGTTAAGAATTTTAAATGTTGTTTTATACTGAACTAAAACAAGCTATCGTTATACTTTCAGCCGAACTGATTGCATTATTACATGTTAAAATCCTGGAATGTTTACAGTTACAGAAAGTTTTAAAAACAAAACTAATAACATAAAGTGTAAAGTGTCTGTTAGGCCTCCACCTGACTCTACTAAGCAGCTTCATTTTTGATAAGGTTCCTCCAAGAACTCACCAAGCGAACAAGGTTCCTCTAGTTTGAGGAAAGTGTGCAGCGCTGCAGAGGGTAAAGATGCAAAAGGTCAAGCAGCACAAAGAGCCACAAAAGAGCCAAATGTGAGTCTTGCTGGCTGTGATTTGGGCCTGAGGTCAAACGGGGAGCAGGTTTGTCGGAGCAGCATTATGGTCTGTCGCTTCAAAGCTTTCTACTGAAATAAAGTGTGTACAGGACAGAACAGAAACCAGGTGTCTGAAAGTCTGAATCATGCTTTACTTACTCCATTACAATTCCTCAGTTAACTCGGGGGATGTTGCTTGTGTCCTGGAGGAACCTTATTAAAATAGATTCCTGGAGGGTTTTTGTTGTTGTTGTAGAGTTATGTGTAGACACCTGTGTTTATACCAAGTTTCATTGAATTTATTCTTTAAAAAGTTTTATTGCAATTGTCTGAATTCCAATATTTCAATATATATATGGATATATATGTTTTGTGTTATGATAAAGGAATAACAAGGCAAAAAGTATTACAATACTTATAGTCAAATATTAAACATCCTGAGGAAACATTTTAGGTTTGATTTTTTTTGGCATTAAATTATGAGACTCTTATGAACAATACTGAAGATGATACTTAAAATAAATGCAATTAAATGCGAGTTTTATAGACTGGTTTTGCATATTTAAGCAAATTGCTTATTCCTTTTTTTGACTTTCAACACTAATGGTCAAGGTCCCTATCTTGCCAAAATGTGTGTGTATATATATATGTTTCTGGGTAAAAAAAGCTCCCATAATAACAAAAACATGTTCATAATGGAACCTAAAACCCCACCAAATAAGGTTAAGAGTATACAATCAAATATTGTAGGTTTTACACTTTATTTTGTAGTTAAAATATTTCCAGAATATTCTGAAATTATGGAGTAATGAAGAACACTTTCATAAAATCTCTCCTTGGAGCAGCTTGTACTGCTGCACTGAGCTGTGAAAAGTGAATTATGTAAATGAATGATGAAAAATACGAGTGTGAAGTTTAACCTTCACACATTCACACATCCTGGCAGCAGGACTGTTGAAATGTATCGTCGTATTCACGCCCATACAGATATATTACAGTAATAAAAATAAAAGGAAGTCAACGCGAAGTGACATTTCTGCAAATTTCAAACTCGGCAACCTTGAATTAACACTTTTGGGCCTCTGAAAGTTAGCCAAGAAATTAATAAAAGTTAACAAAAACTTCTTTTGTATATGTTTTGTGAGTGATAAGTAACACCTGAACCCACCTGTATCTGCATTAAAACTCCAAACGACACATCTTTGCTTCAGTTTGTTCCATTACTCACCATTACCTCGTCAGACTATTGCAACGCTTCGTTACAGAGCGTCAAACGACAGGCAGAGAGAAAACTGGTCAAAGTTTTTAACAACAAAGCGGCCCGAAGCCAACCTGAAACCTCATATCTGCGAGATGGACGACTAAAAATATGCAGCTAAAACGCATCTTTTATAGACTAAAAGTTAACTTCAATCAGCAGCCAGCTCTGCTTTCATTGCACTTTGTCACGCACTGCTTTTATCAATCCACCGCCTTTTTCACCTTTATTCTTAGCAGGTGAACTGAAGCCCAGTTATTGCTGCTGATCTGTTTCTGTGTCAACAGTTGTGTTTAAAAAAAATTAAATATGTATATATTATCTGATTGCAAGTTTTAGCTCTTGGTATTCTATTTTTTTCAGAGATCAAAGAGGTGGAGTCTCAGATATACGACCCACAGACATTGTGAGTGTTGATATTTGTTTCATACTCTGATGTCTTGTTGCAGCTTGTTAACTGTCGTCTCTGTTGACTGTCTCTGGTTAGACGAATGTAGTTGGAGGAGAACAGAAGGCAAACTGAAAAATAATTACCCAAACTGTCTGTTGTAAACATCCAGGTGTATAAAAAGAAACATTGCATTAAAAAAAAAACTATATCGGTATTTATATGTATTTATTAGTGTGTATGTTGAATTTCCTCTTTTAACATCAGAAAACTGTAGATAAAAGCCTTTGTGGTGTCGATTATGCACCTTAAATTTTTGCCATTATTCCTCCTCTAAAGGCTTGAAGGATGTTGTCAGTCTCACACTATAAGTTTAGCTAAAATTTCTAGTTACTACAGCATTATTTAGCTCCTTCATGAAAGTTTTGACGTTAAAATTCTGTGTTAACAGCCAACGTGGGGGAAGTAAATTTGCAGTGGTGCGATCGACAACAGGTGCAGTAAACCAACAACAGCTCACGTACTGCCTGTATATGTGAAAGAGACTTTTCCACTTGTATGTATGTGGCTTTTATTTGGCACGTTGGCTAACGTTTGTTTGCTTTTTGCTGTTCTGTTTTGCAGTCACCAGAGCCAATCAGATTATGTCGACCCCAGTGTACGTAAAGTCAAATGATCTCATTTTATCACAGCAACATACTGATATTAGTCAGAGGCTGTTTATGAGTTTAATGCAGTTCTGTAGTTTTGGTGGAGACAGTTCCAGGTTCAGTTTTATGGCATTATTGTTAAAACGTATTTTAATTTTTTTAAAAAGGCTTTGTTTAACTGTTTACTCCTGATTCCAGCTTTTGAGCTAAGCTATATTAAACATTTGACTTAGTTTATCTGTGTAGTAAACATGAACTACATAATCTGGCTGTGTACGATACAAACACAGGCATTAACATGAACTTTGGAGAATCCACATTATTTTTGCTTTGCACACATCATTATGTGGTATTTGTGTTACATAATAATGTAGTTTTTCTGCTCAGAATTAACTTGTACAAGACTGGCTGGAATTGAAAGTTCACTTTAGTGAAATTGTTAAGTCCTAACTGTGACAAACTATTACTCTCAGGTCGATTACACATTCTGACGCCATGTATGAAAAGCAGAACTTTGGCTGATTGTAGCATCAATTTGTGCTGCAAGTGGAGCATTGGCAAGTGTCAAGAGATAAAATCATGCTAGACCAGCTTGCTGGTGGTTTTTACATCAAATTCTCAGAAAGAAAGGAAACAATAACAGGTTGTCCAAACATTTAAAATGCAGTTCTGTTTTTCAGTACAAAGTCTGCTTCTCTAGTGCACATTATCCAAAATCAACTCAGAGGTTTAACAGACAATTCAAATGTTGTTTCAGTGAAACTCCAGAGGAAATGGAATCTCCAGCAGGTGAGCTCCTTGTGTTGTTGAAAAGTTTCATTTAAAAAAAAAGATGAACATTTGTGCATAAATTGGTGACTGATTTGATCGAACCATCACACACCGTTTAAGTTTCATCACTATGAAAATGTCTCAGTATTGTAAGTAAGTTTACATACATTGAATAACATTTATTTTAAAGTATTTGTATTTTTTTTTGTCATTCATATATAACTGCATTATTTTTGTGGGCTTTATGTGAGTTTTATTGTGTTTCTGCAGTTCAAACACTGAGCTCAAGTCTGGAACACGACTACGTGTAAGTGCTGACGCTCTTGTCATTTGCTTTCTTTTTTCAAATACCAAAGTAGAGAAAAAGCAACATACATCTCATAAAAATGTACTTTTTCTGCTTGTTGTCCTCAATTCTGCTTTGAAAAATGGGAAACTCTACTCAATTAATGTAGTTTGTCACAGTAATCAGCCTCAGTACCTTTAATGGAATACAACGGCACTGAATAGAAAATGTATTTCTTTTCATGAGGGAGAAAATCAGCATTTGTGTCCTACAGTGACCCAGAGTATTCAGATCCCCCCCCCCCCATCAATCTACATTCAATGGCCAATAAAGATAAACTGATCAATAAAATAAACACTGAAATGTCTCATTTACACAAGTATTCAGACCCAAAGCTTTATCAATTCTTGAGATATGTTTAGGACTGAAGTCTTCCCCTGAGACGCTGATCTGACAAAATTTAGAAAGCCCCATCCGAGTATACAAGATCCCACAATTCACACACAACCTGAGGTCAAAAACGAAGTCATGAAGACCAAGAAACTCTTTGCAGACTTCTGTGATGAAACTGTAAGGCAAAGATCAGGGCAAGGGCATGAAACTATTTCTGAAGCTCTAAACGTCCCCAGGAGCACCGTGGCCTCGATAACTGTGAAATAGAAGAAATTTGGAACCACTAAGGCTCTTCTGAGAATCGGCCGTCTGGAAAAACAAAGTAACTGAGCAAGAAAGTCCCTCATCAGGGAGATCGCCAAGACCACAGCAGTCACTTTAACAGAGCTTCAGAAGTAAAGATGAAGATGCTGCCAGACGGAGGATCATCTCAGGAGCTCTCCATGAATCCGACATTTATGGTAGAGCAGCCGGACAGCAGCTACTCTGAGTAAAAGACACATCACAGCCTGTTTGGAGTTTATCAAACAGCATTTGAAGGACTTCCACAGCACAAGGAATAAGAGTCGGGCCTGATGAGACAAAACATGACCTCTTGCACTTTCTAAACTGAATATCAGGCACTGCACAAAACATTACTACAGTGAGGCATGGTGGTGGCAGCATCATGCTATGGCTACCTCTCAGCATTTAAAGAACTCTAAAGGGACGAGGTAAAAGATACTGGTCTGATGGGACAAGATGGGACTTCCACAGCACAAGGAATCTGATGAGACAAAACATGATTTCTTGCACTATGAAATGAACACAATGCACTGCTAATCATCTGCTAATAGCATGGTGGTGGCATCATCATGCTATGGGGCTACGTCTCAGCAGCAGCAACAGGGAGACAATTCAGATCTGAAAGTAGGACGAATGCAAATATACAAGAGGTCCAGAATGCAGAGACATGAGGCCGCATTTCAGCACAACAGCAAACCCAAGTATTCAGTCGAGACAACACCGGAGCGACTGTCCTCGAGTGCCCTAACCAAAGCCCAGACGTAAAACCACATAAAACATCGGTTGAGAGACCACGATAATGAGTTCACAGATGCTTCCTGTCAAATCTGACAAAAGCTTGAGAAGATCTACGCAAAACATGACCCAAACTGCCTAAAACCATGTTTGCACAGCCTGTAGAGACTTAAGCAAGAGGACCGGAAGCTGTAACATTTGCCAACGGGGTGTCTACTAAGTACTGAAGTAATGGCCTGAATACTTCTGCAAATGGGGGACTTCAAATTCTGGTTTATAGTGTATTGGAAAATGTTGTTATTATGGTTCACTGAGTGTGGATTGATTGAAAACTGAAACATATCGACAACTAAATAAGTAATCAAAAAACTAAACTGCACCATAACTAATGTTAGATATAGCAGGGGGAAAAATGGCAAGAAATAAGCTGGGAAAGATGAACCCTAAAGATGATAAAGAGACAATCCTCAAGGAAATATAAACCAAAAAACACACTTAACATCCACCCATAGTCACAGTAAGACTCAACAACACACGAGACAAAATCAAACAACAACACATAGCACGGCACTAAAAGCCCATTTACTACATAGGACAGTTTTACATAATATTAATGTATATAAGTAAAAAGAATAAAAAATCAAATTATTTAATCCACTGATTTATGACAAACAGTGGGCCTCTCTATATCTATGTTACATTTGAAACAATGACACAATCAGATATGAAGCAATGCAATGTCTTGTACAAACTGACACAAGCACTGTGTTCAAAAATTACTTAACAAAAAGATTTCCACTAAGTTTCAGTTCTGACATTCAGACAAACGATCATTTGTCCAACCCATAAACGTGACCATGATAAAACATGAGTCTGTTATTGATTTGTTCCGTTTGCACATAAATACAGAGTAAAAAAAAAAGTCCTATTTGTTTGTTTTACAGAGCACCAATCGCTATATCAGTGTACGCAAATGAGCCAACTGAAGTAACGATGGATGGTGAGTATTTTTTCATCTCCAACTTCTCCATCAAAAGCTTCGAACGTTTACGACACTCATGTCACGTTTTTTTCCAGAAAACGATCACTCGCCATCAGACTACGAGAATGTTTTCCCGTCGATACAGATGACAGACGGTACGTCCAGTCTTGTAATGTCTGAATCAGTTTGAGATACGAGGAGTTCAGTTTGCAGGAATGTGAAGGAAGAGCTCGACTCATGTAAACTTCTGTTTCATCAAACAGATGAGGACGACTATGAAAACACTCAGTTCCTGGACCAAGTTATGGGGCAGCAGGAGGACAGTAAGTCACATATAACGCATGAATTTGTTATGTTCAGGGACACTTTGTGGGACAGTGGCCTCCTCAGCACAGATTTGTTTAAGGCCTCCACCCGTCCAACACAGAAACTGAAGGAGACAAAACTACTGCACACATAGCTGATGAGTCTGAAGTCTTTCTGTGTCTCTTTGCTGATGTTTTTCCTGTTTGCATTGATTTTGTATGTGTTTTTAATTTGTCATGCGTCTCGTTTTTATTGGTTTGGGTCTCTTTATGGTCGTTTCTGAGTCTCTTTATGATTGTTTTGCATCTGGTAGTGTCTTGGAGGTGGTTTTAGGTGTGCATTGAATTATCTATTTGTGTTAATATTGCATTTCTTTCTGGTCAGTCTCTGAGTGTTTGTGGTTGTTTTACATCTGCCGTTTTTGTGCCGTCTTTTTATTTAGTCAGTCTGCATCTCTTTGAGTCAGTCATAATGTCTTTTTGGTCATTTTGTTCTTCTTCTTCTTATTATTATCATTGCATTAATGTAACCATTGTAATTGTTTTTTATTGGTTTGGGAGTCTTAGTCACATTCTGAGCCACTTTGTAGGTGTAGGTCTTTACAGATTGTTTTTATTTTGTCTGTTTGCAAGACTTAGCATATATTTGTGCCTATTTTGCATCTTTGAGGTTGCTTTTTGTCTCTTTGCTTTTGTGCATCTGTTTATTTTATGTTGTTTAAAGGTAATTTTGCCAAATTTTCAGTGTTTTTTTGTCACTTTGTAGTTGTTCTTATTCACGTTGTGCTTGTTTTGTGTCGTCTTGTGCAGCCATTTTGCACATTTATAGAGATGATTTAATCTATTTGCAATGAATAAGCATCTGTTTCTGTTCAGTTTTTGTCAGTTTTAATATTTTTTCCAGTCATTTCTGCATCTTTGTGGTCTTTTTGCATCTCTCTCTCTGCTTAGTTCTCCTTGTGGTTGTTTTGCTGCTATTTCATACCTAGTAGTGATCATTTCGTGTCTTAGAAGTGCTTTTATATGTGTTTACACCAAATTATCTGTTAATTTAGTGTCATTTGCTATATTTTGAAGGAGTTTGCATCTGTCTGCTCTCTTTGTGTGTATTTGCGTTCATTTTGGGTCAGTTTAGGTCTTTTAGTTTAGGTTTGTGTCTTTCAGTGTGTGTGTCGTAGCAGCGTTCATCTGTGTTTGCATTGAAGTTACCCTGCAACCATCTGAACACATCTCGAGACAAACTCAATGACAGAGATTACAAATTACAAATAGGCAGTGTATCTCAACACACCAGGCAGTGGCAGTTTGCAGCTTCTTACCCAAAGTTGTTACACAAAGGTTTACACAACACCTCTGAATGTTCTTTTTGCAACATTAACCGTTCATCTTGTTTTGTTTTTTTAATACAGGTGAGCCAGATTATGTGAATGAAGCCGATTACACCTGAACACATCATCAGTGGAAAGCTTTAACCAGCCTGCACAGCTCCGGTCTTTCTGTAAAACTAAAGTAAAAGCTGTTTTTATCTAAATGTGCCATGTGTGATAAGCAGATTATGTGGACAGCTGCTTGCATAAACATTGGTGAACCTCCACCGTGTTGTCAGCTGTGAAAAGTGAGGCTGCCATCTAGTGGTGAAATGACTCCACTTTAATAAGCAGTGGACAAGAGATTCTTGAATGTTTGCATTGACAAAAGTACATATTTTTCTGTGTAAATACTTTAAATGCTGAAGAATTTTTTGTGACCTTTTGAGTATTAAAGAGGACGTTAATTAAATGACTATGTCCATATTATTAATAAGCAACGGTGTGCTGGTTTATTTCTGAAATCAACATTGAACACACGCTGCATATTTTGTTTCTCTGCAATTACAGGCTCAAATTTGAATTTACAATTTGTTTATCTTTAGAAAAGCTTCCCCAAATTTCCTTTTCCTGCAGAAAGAACACCTAAAAAACCTCACTTACCTTGACATAAACAAACACTGTACTCCTGTAATAGAAGTAAAAACTAATAAATGGTCCTTTGGTCAATCCCATTTTTATTTATAAGTAACTTTTTGAAATAAACTGTAAACTTTTAACTTGACTTTATAAGCAAATACTGACGATGATTCTGAAATCCCTGTGCTGCCTGTAGGCTATATAAAGTGACCAGTGATGAACTTTGGTCAACATGATGAAAACATGGTGGTCATTCATCTGGATACACTAAATGATATAAGAATAAAACATTGCGTTGCCCCTGATGCAGATTTTTGGTCCTGATGCTGCATTCTTTGGGCTGACAACAAGGAAGCCCAAACCGGAATAAAACAAAAAACCAAAAATCCCCCGAAAAAAACCCCAAAAAACGGGGGGGGCAAAAGTAACCAATAAAAAACCTTTTTTTTTTTTTTTTGCATTAAGATTATTTCTTTCTGCCTTAAAAGGGATTAGACTCTACTAAATTGCTACTTCCTCTTGAATGTGTAATTTGTGATATTCCACCTCCAACTCTTCTCAAATACGGCAAAACTACTCTATGCAAAAGTAATTATAACATTGGGGGAGTTCAGCCATAGGAACTGGAAACCGATTTTGAGGAAGAATAATGATACAGAAAGTCCCACAATGCAAGTTGGCAGAACTGGTTCTTTAAGTTTGTTACATATGAAACCCTGAAAGTTTAAATCCGTGCTATTAAGGCTGATACATGATATGTCTGCCAGCATGTATAAATACACCATATGAGCATGTTAATAAGAGGGGGAAAAAAAAAGCTTAATTTTCCACCAGAGGTTGCCTTTAAAGTTCCTGAAGTTGGGACTGGTACACAGTTAGGAGCTCCTTTTACTCTTTGGATGTTTTATAGATTCACTCGTCGGTCTGATCTTGTGCAGCGAAAACCCATCAACCCTGTTAAAGCAGTTTTGCTTTTCCATGCAGAAATGACAGAATAACTCCTCATCAACAACACTGTAACACAAGTTACCCTCCGACCTGTAAGCGCAGATTCACAGCTGCCCGGCAGTCGCAATGCCTTGAAATGAGGAGTCGGTCACAGCAGAGTTTACACAGAGACGGTTTTATTAGCCAGAACAGATCAGCTGAGACGTCTCAGTCCGAAGCCGCTCAGAAACCAACAACCAGCAATGACAGATGATCAGAGCCGACGCCAGCGTGAACAGACAAAATGTAACATGTAGACACACACGCACCACGTTAACCGTTTCTATATATATATATATAGATATATACTGCAGGTTTACACGCTCAGGGTGGTGCAGTGATGATCCCAGTGTAGCTATGCAAAAGTGACGCAGCAAAACACACGTTCACACACACAAGAGCCACTGTTCGAGTTTCTCCGGGGTGACGGATCCTCGTCTTGTTTTAAAGGAACGTGAAGAAGAGCAACGACGACAGCGACGCCGCGGAGAGCGAGTCCACTGCTTCCACCTTAACGAGTTTTATCATCTTGAGGTTAAAAACTGAGCCATTAAAGACAATTAAGGTCTCCTACTTCCAGCGGTTTGACTTGTAGAAGTATGTTAGAATAAGGCTCTATTTTAATGGCAGCAGATCTGAGATGAAGGAAGTTGTTCTCCTTTGAGTTGCATTGTTTAAAAAAAAACAATAAAAACAACAAAGACTGAGGATGGAAAGGCTGCGGGGTAAAGGTGGTGTGTGTTTGTTTTCACTTGCGGGGATGTTTCAGGAGTAAACAGGAGTCTGGCCGAGTAGCTACCCACCTCTCATACACACAATCACACACCGACACACACTCCAGCCGACGGGGGGTTTAGACGCTGCTCAGGGCGTCCACACCAGGCAGGACTTTACCTGGAGACACCGAGAGGAAGTTCAGTCAGCATCATAATAAAAACAGTTTTTAATAGCTGTGAGTTCTCTGTGTGCTTCTGTTTGTGTCTCTCACCCTCCAGCAGCTCCAGACTGGCGCCGCCTCCTGTGCTGACATGGCTGACTTTGTCTTCTGTGTCCCACTTGGCGCAGCAGGTTGCTGTGTCGCCTCCACCTGGACAAAACACAAAACGTTCACACATGACCAAAGGCTTCAAGACAACCGCTTCAAATGACTCAACGTGCTCCACTGATATCTTTAGAAATCATCTAAAGGTTATTTTACCCGTCGTTTCTGCATTTTACCCAGATGTTTGCTTTCATTTATTTATATCCTCATATATGTGTTTGAAATGAATTCAAATTGTTAATTAAATACTCCTATCATTCCATCTTTCTTTCAAGTGCTTGATCCCATTTATGATCTTTATTTAAGCTCAGTAACTACATCTGTGTATTATAGCAGGAGGAAATAATGCAGATGCATAATTTAATTCACAAAGGTACACTTTCACATATCCTATATTTATTACACGCACGCAACCCAAAATATATCAATCGTTTTTTTCGCTTTAATTTTGATGATTATAGCTCATAGCTCATGCAAATCTGAAATCCAGTATCTTGAATTCAATAAAGGACTTCTGCATTATTTTACCTTTGTACTAACTGTACCTGTATAGAACCCAATAAAACTAACTGTATTTTATTTTGCTGCCATGAACTTCACTGTTTTCTGTTCTCTTTCCTACATTGTATGAAAGTTGCTGCCATTTCAACAACATGCGACGGCTGCTGTTAGCATCTCATCATGCTAACAGTTTTCTGGACCACAGATTTGCACCAACATGCTACCTTGAACTGCTGCTAACAAACAAAACAAGCCCCCTCGCTTCTCATCTTTCTCACCGATGATTGTGATGCAGCCGGATTTGGTCACCTCGACCACTTTGTCCATCAGGTTCTTTGTTCCTTTGGCAAAGTTGTCCCACTCAAACACACCAACTGGACCGTTCCACACGATCTGCTTGGCCCTGGACACGGCCTCTGCGTAGGCCTTAGAGCTCTCTGGTCCACAGTCCAAACCCTACAGACGAGAGGAAGCAGATTCAGATGGAATGATAAAATTTACCTGCATTTTTTTTTTTCACCAAAATAGAATAAACATGGAAAAGACTAAATTTAAGAGCCTGACTTCAGCTTCAGTTTGTACTTGATGACTGACAGGTTATAAAATCTCAGTGCATCGTGCTGTTAGAGACTGAAGCAGCTCCTCTTTTCTCACCATCCAGCCGGCCGGGATGCCAGCGGCGACGGTCGCGGTGCCAGTGGCGGCTTTCTCATCAAACTTGTCCGCGGTGATGAAGTCGACGGGCAGCGTGATCTTGACGCCGTTCTTCTCGGCTTTGGCCATCAGTTCTTTGACGATGCCGGCACCCTCCTCGTCGAACAGGGAGGTACCGATCTGATGAGGGAGCGAGGCAAGCGAGAGGACTGGTTATGTTTGATATCAAAGGAAATCATAAAGAAATACCCAGTATGTTGTATTGTTATATCATTATATAAACACAGAACTAAATAAATCTACATTCTGCGTTACAATCTCCCTCTTAGAAAACATTGTTTGATTGATAGAAAAGTGTTTATTTTCACTAGTTAGAAATACAACAGGAGGTAGTAGAAGAGTTGACGGTTAAACATGGGGAGATAAAGTGGAGCACTGAACGCTGGTGGTGTTCAGATTGTGAAGCTGCTTTGTTAGTTTATGATTTCATTCCTAACCTAAACGTGACCTCTGACAAAAGGGTTTAAAAAGATCCGTCACTTTATTCAAATTACAAAAGAGTTGATGGAGCTCTGCAGATAGTTTTGTTCTGACAGATTCCTGCTTTCACTAAAACACAATAGAGGTGAATGGAGTTGACTTAGCGCAGAAAAAAAAAAGACATTTAAAAGATTGAGCAGACTTCTCTATGAACAGGCCTCACTGGAAGCTCTTGTGACTAAAGGCCCCATTGCTGATGCTTTTTAATCCTGTTTTGTTTATATCTTAACAAACTGGCACCATCTAATGTACGCCAAATTCACTGTTAGCAGCTGCTGTTTGCAATGTACCTGTAGAAATCCAAAGGTTATGACTGGATCGGTTTAATACAGCAGAACACTTAAAATCCTCATGATTCTCAAGCAAGTTCTGCAGGTGAAAGAGTTTCAAGTCAGTTTCTGATAATAGAACTGTGGAACCAAGAAGATCCAAGTTGATACAGGTGGATAGAATTGTGTATTATTTAACTGGATTCATGAAACATCTCCATATGTAACTCAGCAGTGTAGGGACATTTTAGAGTTTTAAACCAATGGATAGGTTCAACGTCAATTAAAGGGAAATTCCAACAGCTTCATGGACGTCTGGTAGCCTCTGACGGACCACAAAGATGATTTAAACAACGGATAAGAAAGTTCCAGGTCGATTTGTCTGCACAAAACAGTTTCTCCTTTGCTCAGGCTCAAGATAAATATTGAGATAATGTGTGCATTACTGTGACTAAAAAGATTTCTTAGCAGATTTATGGTTGTTTTGTCACGATGGACATCAGAGATAATGATAAAACCTCAGGCTGCATTAACACTTAGAAGTTTGCATTTCAACACAATGTTTTCCCATCATTTCAGACATTATCTTCGCTCATAGAAACACATCTGAAAGCGTAATCACTGGGCCAATCCACAATACGTAACTTCTTCTGGTTTTTGAAGGTCCTGCCTTTTATCTCACATTGTATAGACATCTTCATCTCCATCCACACTCCTCTTTCAACTCTTCTTCTCACCTCACAATTTGAAACCACTGACCCAGAGCTGACAAAGCTGCTGAATTGCATAAACGTCATCTTTTCAGTGCTGTGAGCGTTGTCAAATATGGATAGATTTCATAAACTGAGCAAATAAAACCAAAACTGTTCTGCTGGCTAAATTCCGCTTGGAAAATGAGTTACGTTAAACAAAAGCTGGTCTTTCAAAATCTTATTATCAGAGGTCAACTTTAGGTTATGAATGTGAGTCTGAATCTGACAAAACACAGCAGTTGCACAAGTCTGTTTGAACACCAACAACATTCAACACAGAGTCCTTAAGTTCGATAAAATCTCGACCTTGTGAAACATCTGAAATTAAACTCTAAGGTTCCTTCTAGACAACTTTTCATCCTGTCACAGAAAAATACAATTTGGTTTAACAGTAAGGATCACAATGACAAATAGGTTTTAGGAGTTCTCGTCTCATCTTGTGGCATTAATTGTTCATTTATGTCTTCTTAGATGCTAAAAATGCATTAAAGATCTTTTTCGTTGCTCATTCGGCATAAAACCACACTTGAACATTAGTTTGTTGGTTGCTAAATGTAAAAGAGCAGAAAGTGTTTCTAGATTTCATTTGGCAAAATGGAAAACGTGGTTTTGGTCCGTTTAGTTCTTGGACATTACACTGCTGAAACTATGCTATAATTCTTGTTTTACCTCTATTTTAAAGTGTGTATTAACATTTAAAGTGGACATGATTAGCTTTGTAACCCCATAAGCATAGACAGAGCAACATTCATATGGAGTCCAGTTAGTGTCGACTCGATGATAGTCAACGTTTACTCTTTTTTTTAAGCTCCTGTTTTGGTCTCCTCCACTTTCTTTAGATGCAGCTCGTAGCTTGCTGTGTCAGTCTGCTGTTTGGTGGTCAGCAGGTCATACAGAGTGGGTTTTTAGAGGTTTTTCTCTGCAAACAGCTCCCTGTTATGAATGAAAATGACGCTACCGGAGCCGTGATACTAAAACGAAACAGTAAAGTTGCAGTTAAAAGGCAAATAATGAGCTGAAACTCAAAAAAGAGGAGGCCTTTTACATATATAGTCATGAGATCCACTCTTAAAAAGTACTAGCTGATTTAAAGATGGAAACCATTTAAATCCATGTGTATTTTAGGGTATCAAATGTTAGCGGCACAGTGTTCTCCATGTTGTCTTCCTCACCTCCATGTTGTTGAGGACTTTGAGGAAGGTGAAGGCCATGCCGCCGCCGATGATCATCTCATTGACCTTATCCAGCATGTTGTTGATCAGCTGGATCTTATCTTTCACCTTCGCTCTGAAACACCGGCACAGAAGCAGAACACATGAGCACAGACAAGAAACACACATGTGGACAGAAAAGAGTAAAAAAAACAAGCTTCATTCTTATATTCATACAGACAGGTTCACTGTGGCTATGAAACTGTTTAAGCTGTTTTAAAGTAGATATTTTGGTCTCCTGTGATGAAGTTAATGTTGTTCCTCAAGCAAAACTCTTAGAAAACGTAAAAAAATGTAATATGGCTGTGTTCAGACTTTCAAGTAATGCTCCAGTAGAAAACCTGGTTCGCTCAACATTTGCTGCAATGCAATTCAATCATGATGAAATATATGCGGCCCTAATTTGCATTATAAATGCTGCTTTTCTCCATTTTAGGGCCTCAACCAGCAAAAATTCTCATTCTATATGAAATGATTAATTGTTTGCACTTAAAAAGTGGAACAAAGCTGTATTTTCAAAGGCAATAGCTAGTCAAAATGCCAATGATGCTTGTTTCTTTTGATCAAGACCCCAAAACTCAAAAAAATAACTGCAGAGAAACTTTATTGTAGAAAATGAAAAACTATCAACTGATTATCCAAACGGCTGCATTTCATGTCAGCCGACTAATCTATTAATAGTCAGCTCAGCAATTGTTGTGGCCGAAGATAAAACAGATGCGGCTGTGATAACTTTCCAGAGTTATAAAACCACGTCTCACAGTGTTTTAAACCGCTGCAGCCTTGAGTTCCATTAATCTGTTACTCAAACTGTACTTCCTGGATTTATTTCCTCATTTCACTGCCACCTGATGAAACATCTTGACAGTTCATTTTGTTATTTTTCTAAGCAGTTTTCTTGTGATCAGCCATTTTGACACACTGTACATGTCGACAAATCATAGATGAAAGTATCTGCGGTCATTCAGGTGAAGTTAATCTGCCTGATGCTGAACTCTGCTGCCGACCACTGGCTGATCATTACACGCCAACGGTCAATGTCCTCCGTTTGTGACCTGTGAGGAGGTGATTGGCTGGCTGGCTCGGTGCAGACGGCGAGGGACAGTTGCACAACGATCTCGGGACTAAGATGGACTCTGACACGAGGCCAAAAGCAGCTCGGTTAAATGAAGCGTTTCAAACAGCAGCTTCACTCACAGTTTCCTCTTCCAGCTGGGGTGCCACCCCTCAGAGGAAACACTGAATGAAATAGTATAAAGCTACCTGCAGAGCTACAGAGACAAAAGCTCACAGGAAGCAGAGCTGCTCGTGGTGAGTTCAGGAACTGTTGGTTAACTCATCACGTGCTTAACATTTGGCAGCAACCAGTTCCTATATAGTAGCACAACAGTTGCAGTACCTCTGATTTCCTCACTGTTACTTATAAACATACAAATAAATATAATGTTAACACTGAATCACACACTCTTGAGATTTTCACTGACAATTACATTAACTAGATTGTTGAAGAAACCACACTAAATAAAAGTTAAATAGTTCTGTTACAGGCTTTTAAAGTTAAACAACCAACTCAATTTGTTGTTGATGTATTTAACTCCTTTCTGTTGCTGTAATTGAACTGGTGTAATGTCAGATAATTCCTTCAGGAAAACTGGCTGCTTAAGCAGTCATTGCTTGATGATAAACACAAGCTACAGTTTTACATCCATGTACATTGTAAAAGAAACCAAAATCACCTTTAATGAATTAATGCATACAAGAGAAAACAAGTTAAAAATGTGCTTAAAGTTCAGCTGAGTTAGATACATCTCAATGCAACATACCAACAATAAATGTGGGACTTCTCACCTCTGTATGCTCTCTTAGCAGTAATAGTGTCTTTAACAAAGCAGCAGCACCACAGATTACAGATTTAATGAGCTTATTCTCTATTCCTGGATGGACCTATTTTAAAAGAGGCTGCAGTGAGATGACACCCGAAGTGCAACAGAGGGAGAGGAGGAGGTCAAGTAGACGACTTTTAAATCAAATTTAACTTGCAGAAAAGGCGAAGCACCGTCACCTGGAGCAGGATTTTGTTTTGTATAGTATTGCGTAACATTACAATAACGCTGACATGGTATGTACAACTTGAGTCCTGTATGAATAAAACGCAGATGTCAAATAAATGTACGATTGTCCTCCACGAAAGTTTAACCAGGCACAATGCTAGCTGCAAAGACAGATACTAGTTGATTATTTCATAAAATGAAAATAGCTGCAAACTCCTGTGTCCAAGTATTAAATCCTTTGTATAGAGAAGTCTTAACATTTAAGATTGCGTTTCTCATACTGGAGATTCTGGCTTGTATTTCACGTCTCACCAGTATCTGACGAAACGCAGCTTCTTGCATGATTTTACTGCAGTGAAGTTTACAGTCTGTAACACATTCAGACCTGATGAATCATTAAAATGAACTGTTCTCACCCTCCGAGGATGGCCAGGAAGGGCCTCTGAGGTTTCTCCAGAGCCATGGCAAAGTAGTCGAGCTCCTTCTTCATGAGGAAACCAGCCGCCTTCTGAGGCAGATTGACTCCCACCATGGAGCTGGAGGTGAGGAACAGGAGGACGAGGAGAAAAGTCACGTTAAAAACCAGCAGATTCCTTAACTTTGTTAATAATTCAGCAGGTAGCTCAGCCAAGAAATATATTTATCAAAGACTATCAGCGTCAATAAAGACATTGATTCTCATGGATAATTCTAAAAAAAAAATTAATGCACAAACTCTTGTTACAGTCAGAGAGATATGATGTACTTGTGTATAAAGACAGCTAATATCAACCACCGTATCCAGCCGACCTGCCTCCTGCTCACCTGTGAGCTCTGTGAGCTGTACCGAAGGCATCGTTGACGTAAACGTCTCCCAGTTTGGACAGAGACGCCCTGAAGGAGTCGATCTGCTCCTGGGAGGCCTTGGTCTGGACAACAAATAAATACAGGAGAGAAGACAAACACAGAAAGAATGAATTAACCTGCATCAGTAGCTGCAATCTGTGTTTCCTTCATCTGTTTCACCCACAGAGATCCATCCATGTGTTTATTTTCTTTTAAAAAGCTTCAAAGTGTTCATTAATTGAAAGCGGTAAATCCATTTTATTCCAACAATGTTGTTTGTTGAACAAAATTCAAGCATTAATTGATGAATTAATTGAAATGTGAGCAGCTGCTGCACCTGTTGTTCGATTCAATGTGTTTTTTCCTCTAAACTAAATTCTATTGTCCATATTCACACAACAGCTGCTGCCAACACGACTATCAGTTTACGTGCCGCACTGCTGTGCTGCAGCAGCACAAACACGGACGCCGACATTCACAAGCCTCAATACCTGCAGCTTAATGAAATTCCTGCTGTTGTCCTGCAAAGAAAAACTCTCCCCTTATCATCTGGCTGCTGTCTAAATTTTCACCATCACGATATAGTCAGTACATTGTGGATCAGGTTTCTGCTGCACTTTAACAAAGTTCATGACTGTGAGAGCGGAGGGCAGAAAAAGGTCAAGAGAGTTCTTCAGTGTCGACCAAATGTCACAGTCAGATCACAGTCCAGTCACTGCTTCCTACATTCACCCCTTCAATCTACGTGACAGATTCAAGTCAGAAACAGGACAAATGAAGCTGATTCATTAAATAAACATCACTCTCTCCTAACTTCTCATATTCATGATTAGTTGTTCTTTAATACTGATTAAATGAGCTTTTTCCTCACTGAAGGAAATGTGGTATTAAAATACATAACAGAAAAACTACCAAATCTGATTCAATACTCGAGCAGTAAAAGCTTTTACCGTAGTTTGTTGCTTCGCTCTGAAGTTGAACAACTTAATATCTTCTTCTATTAAAAGTCCACCTACTTCTAGCAGTGCTTGTAACATGTAGCACCATTAGAGAGGGAAACTAGCTACATTAAACACTTAAAAAAAGCAGATTACATAGAAAAAGGCCTGTGAAAATTAAGTCAGCATGATTGGATTATTAGCTACTTCTGGCAGTTTTTCTCTAATCTGAAGGACAGATGGTGTTTTATTCTGCACAGACAGTAAAGCTGCTTGAGGCAAATTAATCTATCTGGAGTTGGGGCATTTGGGCTGCAAATAATAAATACTTCCATCAATTCATCTACTAATTATTTAGTATTTTGGTCTATAAAATTTCATAACACAGAGAAAATGCCCTTCACAATTTCCTAAAACATGTTCCAAAGACTCACAAATTAGCTTTACATAAGGAAAAGAAAATCTGTAAATGTCTGTAGCTGCAGGAGCCAATGAATGATGAGGATCTTTGCCAGAACAATGGAAAATCAAAATACTTGCAGATTAACTTTGTTGTTGATTAAACTATCTGAATGATCGCGTAGCTGTACAGTAATAATGCACTTCCTTAAAATGGATAAAAATGATGGATTTTGGTCCCTACTTTGGGACTTTCAAATTTTAATCCTATAATTACTTTATTGCAGCTTAAAGGCTCTTTTATTAACCACACAGCCAGTATTACAAGCTGAGTCATCCTGCTCGTGACAAATAAACTGATCCTCATATATAAAAGCAGTGCAGCGCTCCTTTAACTGAGCAAGTGAGATTGTTTCAGCTGTGCTACTGAGAAATGTTTCGATAATGAACTAAAAATAAAAAGGTCCCGTGTGATACAGTACAGCAGTACAGTAGAAACCAGCCAGCATACCAAGCAGGCCTCTCAGGACAGGAAAAGCCCAGTGACCTTCAGCATAAATGTCAGCAGGTCGACGCTGCTGATCTGCTGCAGGACGGACCAACATTCAAGTCACACAATGTCTGAGGATCGTCCAGAGTCTGGATCTGAACTTTTAATAGAACGTCTGCATTTCAGCATAAAGAAAAGAGATTATGTTGTATGATTAGGTGACGAAGATGCCATATTAAAATATCTTAGTTGGGGGTTTTCCTGCCCATTGAAGTAGTTTTAGGGTGCCCCAAAGGAAATTATTTATTTAACCAGTCTTGTTGATTGTGGCTTCACCAACTTCAGCATGACAGACATTTTTCTTCATGAAATGGACAGAATAACAGAAAAATGAATAAATATCTAACAAATTGAGGCACCATAAACTCACTGCCTTTACTGTACTCGGACCAATCATGTCTAATGTCATGCATCCATTCTGAGGCAGGACCAACCGAGTGTAGTTATAAGATTGGACTGAGCTATGATCCGATTCAACACGGTCTATGCAAAATTCAGTATGTCAAAAATCTGACAAAGTGGCCAAACAGTCCACATAGAGTGAGACGGATCGTAGCTGCCAAATGAAAGTGCACAGAACACAAAAAACACAACAGAAAAGCTTGTTTTTACTGTTGTTTAAAGTGAGAATTCTCCTGCTAACATGCTGCCACAAGACGGATCTCAACTGCTCACGATGTCTGAAAGTATTTATATAAAAACAGATGTTATATTTACACAGTATCACTTGATTTAGGAATCTACTCTGAAGACTTCCATTTCTAATTTACTGCATACCAAACTGTCCCTGTTTTCCTCTGTAGTCCACAATACATATGAGGATATTTTTGACACACGAATTTCCATTGTTTTGTTGCATTGTTTACAGGTACAATGCTGTATCACATTACATTAAGAATATATGCGCATTTGTTTTTTGGTTTTTTTTTTAACACTTCATGTTAAGTTTCATTTGAGAGCACATACCAGTTGTTAAGTTTCACAAATAGACACAACACAAGGTAAACACTGTGTTCTACAGGACACCGAATCTCTGCATCACCTCTGTCTGGACCATGACGTCATCATACGGTGACGCAGCTATTTCAGGGGACACTGCAGCTGTGGTGACTGTGCGTTTTCCTTACAGAGAATTACTTTGACACTGAAGAAACTAGAGCAAGTTCTGAAGCATCTTTGTTCTGTAACTTCTAAGCAGGTTTATTCACCTTCATTTGCCTTTTGTCTAGATTTGTCCTAGTACATGTTAAGGCTTCTTATAGACTATTCTGTAGTTTTTTCAAAAATTAAAACCCAGCCTGGATCAATGTGTTAAATCAGCAGGAAAGGCAGGGAACAGTTCATCCTGTACCTCTAGATGTAGTGTTAATCCTGTGCGAATGGGCCTTTAGATTAGTTTTCTCCGCACCAATAGATGAAAGAGAAACTGGACTGCAAAGAACAGTTTTGATGGGTCATGTTCATAAAGTGATGCACTAGAAAGATTTAATAAAACCCAACTCTGACGAAAATGTATTGAGCTTTGACTGAATAAACTGTAATATTTACAGGACATTAGCCTAAAAAAAAAAAATAAAAAAAGACTGCTGGGAGACCCACCTTGTTCCCGGAGGCATCTTTGCCTTTTCCCTCCTCGGCAACGTGGAAGCGGAGGTTCTCCAGCAGGATGACGGATCCAGTAGCGGGGTTAGCGCAGGCAGCTTCCACCTCTGCACCCACACAGTCCTTCAGGAAGGTGACGTCCCTGCAGAGACCCAGAGGACCAGTGAGGATGAATTCTGATGGCTTTTATATGTTTTATGATCTCCATAGGCCAAGTGTTGTCTTCTTGTCATGTAATAGTTATGTTGTGACCCTAACAAATGTTAGTGAAACACATTATGGGAAGTAGCAGAAGCCGCAATAAAGAAGAAAATATGTGCCTCAAATTAAAATAATTAAAAAAAATACAGATGACCCAACGTTACCAGTTCACAAACTGAACAAAATAACTTACATGTATACATTCATATTCAAAATATGAAGGGTGCTCGGGCTGCAATGCACTGGAGTGGGCGTGACGCACAGGCTGCATTTGGCTACTGAGACCAGTTTCTGTGTGTAGGTCAGCGGTGACGGCTCCGTTTCCACGGCGGCAGGGATATTCAGAGATCAAATTTGATATCCCGATTCCAGCACAGCGAACGAATAGTCGGCTATTCGGGTCCAGCCCTAGTGTAAACTACATTTTTCCATGTTTGTGGTTTTTGTAACTTTTTTGTTTGCTTGATGATCCAATTTTATTTAATTTACCTCATTTTGGTTTTGCATTTTAAATAACTACAATATACACAACTATATTTATTTTCCATGAGTCACAAGTCACCATAAATCACCTCCAGCAACCAAAGTCTGACCATTAAACAAATGAAATGTGACCTGAAAAAAATATTAAAGCAGCAAAATTAACGAGTAAAGACATTTGTTGTCTTTCACTTTTTCTATTATGGTGCATGCAGATTGTTTTGTCATTAAAGTAAACCTTAGTTTTGATCCTACATGTCCCACTTGTTCTATAACAGTCATTCAGTCTATTAACTTTCAACAATTAACTCCATTTGGTGCATTTTATGTCACATAAGAACCTGTTTATGTATTTCACTTTTGCTGCTTGTAGTTTTATTTCATTGACAGCAGCCTCTTTTATCACTGAAAGCTCTTTTACAGCTGTATCAGAGGTGTACTGATTAATAAACAAATGCAAGGTGTTTCAAACAAACAGAAGCTGCTTATTGAGTCCATCAACTCACTTCCCCAGCAGGGTCTTGAGCTCGGCGGCGACGGGCTCCAGGGAGTATTTCTCAGGCATGGGGTTTCCGTCAGGACGACCCAGATGGCTCATCAGCACAACGGACTTGGCCCCGTTGTCAAGGCAGTGCTGGATGCTGGGAACGGCCGCCTTGATCCTGGAAATCAGCAAGCACAAGACTTTAGAAAACTCATCCATCAACTTTTATTCCTACTTCTTTTTCATTTCTACCATCTCCTTTAATGCCTTAAAGACATCAAGGTTATAGACATGTTGGTTTTTCTGGTTTATTAAAGGACAAAACTTTCACTGCAGCATTGAAGGAGTCAAGTTTACTTTTATTGTGAGAAGAAAGAAAATGTAGAAGAATGAGTTGAACTTTACCTCTGGTTGTTTGTGATCTGCTTGTCCTTCATTGGAACGTTGAAGTCAACTCTGAAAGAGAAGAAACTAAATTAGCAGAAAGAAATGGACGAATGAGATGTTAATTAGAGAAGTTTTTGTGATTAGTGGCACAAGCCTGAAACATGGATTAAACACTGACGGTAACACCACCAGTGTGTCATTAAAACTGTTTAAATTACCAAAGGTGACGAGTCATTCCTACACAACAAACTGCACTGTAATGCCTTTGTTAAATATCTAATAAGTCACTTTTCATTCTCATAAACAAAATACACCAAGCACCTGAAATAGATCTCTGTATTCAATCAAATATTCACTCTTTTTCCTCCACTTCTGAAAAGCAAATATCAGCTGCTAAATGCTTCATTATGTTCAGTCATTAACCAAGTTTGTGTTCCGTTTAATTCTGAGCAGGTGGAGGACAGCAGGATTTAAGAGTTTTTCTTTTTGTTCAAAACTCGGGCCAACAGAGAATAAACCTAAATAGCTAAATAATGGTGATATATTCTTAACAGTATTTGCATTACAGCTGCTACTTTTTTCAAGAACAGCAACACTCGTCGTGTTTCTCCACTCTACATCCACCATGCAGAGATGCACACAGGCTGCTCATGAGAACATGCTGCATCCCTCGTACTCCAGCCTGTTACGTAACCAGCTCCCCTCCCTCCATCTGATGCACTGAGACACATAATCAGCCTGCACACACTCTGCACCCGCTGCCATTGTAGCTGCAAGCCACTGTCTTAGCCTGAAACCCAACGGTCAGCAATTCAGAGGCTCAACAGCAGGCAGCCGTTTGCAGGCAACAACTGCAGCAGTTTTCTGCTCTCGTTTCGTTCCACCTGTTGCTCTGGAGTGCGACTCTGCATGTCAGCGAGAACACAATGGACGCAGCTGCTCTGGAGATCTTCTGGAGGCAGAAATAAGCTCACTGAAGGAGCTAGAACCTGAAAAATGAAGCCGACTAATAGATCTTATTCACAGCTCAGTAGCCATTTATGAGCACTGCCTGGATGCAGATAATAAATGGTGACAACATCATATTTCACAGACACTTATAGTTGCAGATACATTTAAGTATTGATTTCGCTTTTATTAGTGGAACTTGCAACTAACATGAGATGCAAATTCGGTTACACATGTAGTCCGTTAGGTGATGGCAAACTGAAACCACGTGGAACAATGAATGAAAAACGTATGTCTCTAAGAAATGCTTGCACATCTTCAATTTTTAAGAAACTCAAGTTGCTGCAGGGAGCAATGAATGAAAAAACATGGTCTTCATTCTCCTCCTGCCTCTTGTTATTTTCTTTGGGCTTCAGACAAATTATGATGAAAAAACTAAATACTGTATTTATAAACCTCTTTAATGGTCATGAAACTGCATTTCAAGCTGCTACAGGGAGCTGTTGGATAGCATGAACAGTGTGCAAGTCATTTCCTGCACAGACACTGAAGGTCTCCAAAACAACATCCTGCTCTCCCTCTTTTAAACTCTGAACCGGCCGCCTTCCCTTGGTCTCCATACAAAGCTGTAGGTTCATAAAACACCTACATGCAGCATGCTCTGACAGGCCCAGGGTGTGATCTGAGGAAACTCATTGTCTGACTGTCTCAGTGCAGCACACTGTGGCTCCCCGCTCAGACTAACTTCAGATGAAGTGAAGTTTGACCTTTTCACACTGAGCGGTCCAGGCTGCTGGTGAACCTTGTCCTATGTCTCCCAGCGTTGCATCACCAAACTGAGCAAACCAACATGGCCCTCTGACATTTCCACATGGGGTGTCGGTTTCAAGTGCACTTCCATGATCACTGGCCTTCACAAAGTGTAGAAACATCCAACTAATAAATGGCAAAATAATTACCAAAAATAAAGTAACATTACTGCATCCTGGCTTAATTTTAAATATATATACATGTGTTCAGCCAGGCAGCAGGGCAGACTGAATTGTACTTCAACTAAACAAGGAGGGATTAAAACATCTTTGAGGAAAGCACCAAACCAGCTTGTCAAATGAATTATTCCAAAACCATTTTGGTTCCTCTGTCAACCAGTGCCTCATCATTACTTGTTCAAGCAGTTTATCAAGTATGAATGATAAAAAAAGCGATTGATTACAACTAGAGCTGTAACTATTTGCAGAATAATCAACTCAAATAGTATATAGTTGCCAATCTGAGCTCTTGAGCAATGCCCTGCCCATATTCCCTACCAAAGGGATCAATGGGAATCGTGACAGCCCCTTTTCATTGAATAATCACAAAAATAACCCAGTTAACTATCAATAATGCCAAAAACGTCTTAGCTTTAGCACTACTTAAAACGTGGCATGATACTTGATGCTATTTCATTAAACAATGACTCGAAATATGGAGATCTGCCCCCTGGCTCAAGCGTGACTGGACATTCATAATTATTTATTGAGGTTTTATAGAATTACAGTTTACATAACTAACACCAGTCAAAATAAAACATCCCTTAGTTATACTGAACACAAGGCACAGTGTGTGTCATAAAGGTAATACGTTTTATGAGAAGATAAAAGGCCGGTTTACTGCAGGGATGCTGTTGATGTATTTTAATCTAAAGGGAGTGACTCCAGCTGCACCTCGGATGCAGGTTTCATCCATACAGCATCTCCTCACTGGCACGTAACATGGATGGAAAACGTGACGGGCAACAAGTTCACTTCCTGTCCTCTGCACGGTCCTCTGAAGTGATTCAGACACCGTTAACTATCACTTCTGAGTCTTAACGCGAGGAATGTGTGATTATCGAACAGTTTATCACCCTTTGAGGGCCACACATTATATTTTGGAGATGTCAGCTAAAAAGCGAACGTCAAATAATCCCATTTTTGATTAGCATCGCAAGCTAACAGCTCGGCGCCGATAAACGCTCACCTCATAATGACGCGCTTCCCCTTCACGTCCACCTTGTCCAGGGTAAGTTTGTTAGACAGAGACATGTTGCTATGTTGCTGTGTTTCGCTGGTTCTTTCGTGCACCTTCCTGGCTGGGTCTCCTCCGCCTCCTCCGGCTGTCGGCTGGTTAGCTACCGAATGACAGCGGTGACCTTAGCGCAGCGCGGAGGAACACCGGCGGGGCGGGGCACAGCACACCCCCGGCTGCTGATTGGTTGAGGCAGGGGGACAGCGCTTGATCTGATTGGATGTGGCTGCTGCCTTTATGCTGACGTACTTACCTTCCTGATTACTTCATCAGCTGAACTTCATTCAAACTCTAAAGCACATTTACTCAACTACTGCAGTTATAGTAAAATACCTTGAGTGTTTTCATTTTGAGCAACTTTATAATACTTTACACTGCAGAGCGAGTTGTTGTACTTTCTACTCAACTACACTAATTTTACAGCTCTTATCACATTGCAATTTACATTTTTAGGATATATAGAACACTTTATTGATCCTCTAAAGAGAAGCTGTGTTGCAGTAACATTTTTTTATAACACAGAAAATTGATTTTGTATATTCTCTCATGGCCCTTCAGAGGGGGCCTGACCCAACGGTTGAGAACCTCTTGAACCACTGTTGTAAACCAATATTGTCATGTATGATAATGTCACAAATCTATTTTACTGCCAAAGAAATACTTTCATTTTTGGTCAAATGAGTACATTTTGCTACTAATCCTTCTGTGCTTTTAGAATTTTTAATGCTCAAGTATTTCTCCATTGTATTTGTACTTTTAACTAAGAATGTACTAACTCAGACCAACCAATGTAGAACTCTTACTAGCAGTAGAGTATTTCACACCAATGTATTGTACATACCTTTAAATGATTTTAATATTCCTTCATCCCCTGATATTGTGTACGGTAACGACAGAAAGCTGTTAATTCATCTATTAAATTCTTTTTTTTTTGCATTATTGGTAGTGATTTTACACTCTCTGGCCCCGAGAGCTTTTTTTATGCAGAATTCACACACAAGCACTCGGTAGAATCACACTTAATTTATTTGGACAAAGTAACATGTTGGAATAAACACAGGCCTTCACCATCTGAACACGTAGATATTCATTATTCATCTGTACAACCAGAAAGTTTCTCGGATGGGCCGCAGGTCTGTCATGGCAGCTCTTTACTCCTCTTCGGCTCCTCTCCACGGTTTGGGCTGTATCTTCCCAACTGGCGACATATTCCAGGTGATGCCGGTCTGAGTCAGCACCTGCACAACGACAGGAAAAGTCATTGTTTTTTAGAATCTTCAGGGTAATAAAAAGGAAATTGACTTTAAATCAAATTTTCCCACCAGGAATTAAGACAAAGATGAAAGGAGTAGTAGTCATATTTAAGGGTCTTTTTTGTTGTTGTTTTTTTGGAGTGTAAGATCCCGTTTTCAGACTTGATCTTCAAAGCCTTTCACACCTTTTACATTTCAAAGACCTTTGAGGATATTAAGTCCCTTAATTGTGGTAAAATAATGAAACATTCTGACACTGATGAATTTATTCAGCAAGGCCTTTCACAGTGAACAAAAATGTGCTGGTGTGCAAGAGTCAACAAGCTCTGGTCGCCCTCCAGTGGTCACAAGTAACAACTGAGGGTCAGTTAGACAAGCAGTCGTGTTCCTGTAGCAGCATACCGGCCAACAAACATCTTCATTATGTCTGTTGTGTCTTGATGCAACAAAATAAATAACAAAAACAGAATCGAACCAATAATAGACTTTGTCAGGGAGAGAGAACAGTGTCTGGTGGCGTTTCTATGCTTATTATTCTTAACTCATTGGTACTCAATTGAAGTATTTCATTGTCAACAGTTTAATTGAACCCTTTTTTTAAACAAAATAATTAAAATGCTTCCAAAACACAACAAAACTATGACTCTCAGCCATTTTCAGAGCCAATACACCACTGTTGTGCTTTGGAAAAACACATAAACCCAACCTGAGTCAGTGCCTAAAAGAGGATTCCTACAGCTTTCTGCAAATGTGAGAACTAACACACTTTTTGGAAAAATGGAGCCAGTTTTTACATTCTTTTTCTAAAGGAAATATCTTATACTAGATAAGAAAATATGTTGATATAAAAAAAATAATAATCCAGATAGAAAATCAGCGCTATTGTGATTCCCAGTGATGGTAAAATGTGTGGATGGTCAATGTAACAGTAACGTTTGCACTGTATGTGCCAATTTATTTTTTATTTTTTCTGATGTTTAAGAGGTTCTTAATTTCAAACCTGACTTTCCTGTTTAACTCAACAGTTGCTGTGATACAATTCTGTGCTCAGTACATTTTGATATCTGACTCTACACTGTTTATGTAATTTAATTGTAACTTGACAATACTGAGGCAAAAGGCAAATTCTTTTCAGGAGGGTCACTGGTGGGACACTGAGTGGTTGATAAAGCAAGCTCAGTTCTCTGTAATGTCTCTGGAAAGTCAGACATCTTTTTCACACTTTCCCATCAACTGTTCGACACAGTTTTTATTTTCTGTGACAAAATTCTTTCCCCTTCTACACAGAAACCCAATGGATACATATCCGTTATTTCTCTTTTTCTGAAAATGCAACATTTTAACCAGCTGTCTGTTTATGTCATACAAATGATTAAATGTGGTCTAACTTACGTATCCCCAAACAGCTGTGCAGAAGGCTGCTCCACCGAGCATCAGAGCTGTGCCGTACTTGGAGTGGAAGTCCTGGCGGGCAGTGGATCCATGCCTCACCTGCCTCGCAGCCTGACCTGGACAACAAAACACAGATCTGATGGTAAAGACTTAACTACAACATTGAGTTAAGCATTTAGATTATCTTTAAGGTGACTGTTGGTAAGGTTTATATGATTCTGGAAAAGGTAGAAAACAAAAGGATCTGAATATATTCTGAAGGATTTTCTGACCATTATTTTTGTGTTGAACTGAAATCAAGAGTGACTTAATCAGATTGTTTTTAAAACTTTCTTGAAAGAAACTATTCATAGTGTCCACATGAACGGGTGCTGCCCTTTCTGCACAACTTCTCAGTCTCAAACAGCAACATGGTTAAGTGATATGTGAAATAAAATAAAACTTCACACAACACTATAAATGTCTCTTTAGCTGTCTTTAGTCCTTAGTTGTTGTCTTTTGCATTCATGTTTATGACGAGTTCTCTTTTTCCTTTCCCTGTTGTGTTGCTGTTGACATACTGTTTGATACATTCAGAGCTGCAATGATTAACTGATCGATTGATAAACTATAAAGAATGTTTTAATTTCTTTAAAGAAAACTAATAATTTTTTTTGTTGGTTGGACAAAATTAGAGCTGTAATGATTAACCAATCAACTGAAATTGAACATCTAAAGCTATTGTGGTGATTAATTACTCATTTCAGTTTTTGGTTATCTTTGTTTTTTAAAGAAAAAGACAACAATTTTGTGTTTTGGAGTGTTGGTCAGACAGGAAAGCTGATGATGCCCCCTTGGTCATTCAATTATGTTAGAGAGCAGCAGATTAATCAACAAAAGAAGATAATTGGTAGTTGCAGCGCTATTTACATTATTATCAAGAGGTGGAACAATTATTCGATGAATCGATGAGTTGTCTTTTATTAAATTATTGAAGTATTTCAATAACCAAATAATCTGCTTGAGTATTAAAAAAAATAGAAAATAAAGAAGTTCTTTGATTCTAGTGTCTTAGACTAGAATAATTTTTTGAGGGTAATTTCTACCTCTACAACAGTAAACTGAATATCTATGGGTTGTGGACAAAAAAAAAAACAAAAACATTTGACGATGTCATCTTGGGCACTGATCACTGATTACACAGATCTGACATGTGTCACCACTGACTTTTTATAGTCACAACAGTGGATTAACTGGGGAAATACATCAACAGCTTTATTGACAATGAAAAAACATTATTTGCAGCCCTAATGTAAAGTAAAAATGAGATACAAAGTTACGCGAATGAATTAGACAGCAGGTTACACAGTGGACTCAGAATGGACTTATATGACCTCTTTTAAATTCAACCTCCCAGTGAAAAGAAAGACACTTCAGGGATGGATATAAAACACGACCAATAAAAAAAGAAAGAAAGAAGGCCATACTAAGATGTAAATCGATATCGGTCACCACATTGTTTAACATAAATCATAACCTCTCCAGCATTTATAAATCATATTACATATTTTCTTTTTAACTGTCACTGCTGACACTCATTAACAGAAACCAAATCTACCCTTCAAAGGTGATTTCAGCAATTTCTAGATGCTAAATACAGACTGCCCTTATTTGCCCTTGCAAATCAATTAAATTCACAGTCAAAACACATAGACATTATCTAGACAGTTTACCGTAGCCTGTGATTTACAATAAATAATTTACATAAACAAAACTACTCAATAAAGGAATGAACATTACAAGCGAGAAGCTAACTGTTTTGAAGTTATGCAGGTCAGAGGTTCGGGCAAAGACATCTTGTTAAAATAATAGCCAATAAACAAAGCTACTTTAAACGGAATAACTAGGATAATTTACGACATAACATTCAAGATATGCAATTTTACGATTAACAGTATTTTATCACATATTTTGTCTCCTCAGGGAGATGCTAATGTTAGCTGGCTAACGGCAGACTGTGAATGCTAGCAGGCTAACCGCGGTCACCGACCACGCAGACTTTTGGACTTTCCACAGACTAATAACAAATTGTCGCCTGCTGCAAACGAACGCAGACAAAACAAACTGACAAGAAAAACTGCTTCCTTACTGCTGACGTTGACTGCAACTTTAGCAAACCGGTACATGTTGTCTCGCCTGGTGTCTTCAGTTACCCTTGACGAACGGAAAAGTAATATGGCCGCTGCACGTAGGCAAAACCGGAAGTTATGTTGCGTTCAATTTCAATAGTAAAAAAGTTATTACGAGAACTAGAAAAAAAGGAATTGGAGAAAGACATGACAAATGTATTGGCAAACCGTTGGCAAAATCGATGGAAACTCAGCACTACTGATAGTTACGTTAAATAAAAAGAGCTAGGCCTAGTAACCATGAAATAATACAACAATGTCTCTCAAACGTGAGAGTAATGGGTGTGCTTGTTACTCTTCCCACGTTTCATAAATGTACCACCTTTATGATTGCCAATGTGAGCATGCGCCGACTGAACGTTAAGGGTAAAAAATGGAGAATAAATTCACACTTTCAGACACTATAAAATCAAATACAAAATACACAGATAGCAATTAATATCAATTTTCAACATATGTCGAACAGCTTTCAAAATATCAGATATCAGTTTAGCGTGTACAATTTGTTACGTATAAAACCCCAACTGATTTCCCGCTCTAGCACCGTGTCAGGATGGCCGAGTGGTCTAAGGCGCCAGACTCAAGGATAAACTCCTTCCGCTGAAACGGGACTTCTGGTCTCCAAATGGAGGCGTGGGTTCGAATCCCACTTCTGACACATAACTTTTTCTGCCTCAACAGTAATAACGAACTAAAAAAATGGCAAACAAATAACTGCAATATAAACTGTGGCAGTATTAGTCATCCCAATACGACTGGGGTTGGGATTCGCAGGAACAATGTATTAGTGTGGCTAAACAAGCTGTTACTAGTTTGGGCTTCTTTTAGAATTTATTTTAAATTGAATGACACTCATTCTTTTGTTTATCTGAAATTTGGGGCTGTTTTCTGTTTCAGTTCACAGATTTTTAAGGTAATATGTCATAAAATTAAAATCTGAAAATAACTATAAAAAAAATAAATAAATTGGAGAATAAAACCGTTAACAAAATTTTGCATGCAAGACCTTACATTTCGCATTCAACAAATCAAATACCTAATTACACATAAACAAAATATTTTGCGTAGCAGCTTTCATGCAAACAGAATCTAAGGGCTTGAAACTAAAAATAGGTGACACCAAGATCATTAGGAGTTTTATAAAATATCAATGCTAAATGAGACAGATGACCATAAACTGTACATACAAGTAAAAATAAGTAAGGGATAATGCCCGACGAGGTGTCCATTATCAGAAATTAATGGACGACGCGGAGGCGTGAACCGTCCGACGCGAAGGACGGTTCACGCCTCCGCGTCGTCCATTAATTTCTGATAATGGACACCTCGTCGGGCATTATCCCTTACATATATTATGTGACGTATAGACTTTAAAACTGGTGTCATGTGTGCTCTTTTTCTGTTCTTAGTCACACACATGCAGCAGAGTTTTAGTTTTGTCTTAGTTTCAGTTGGGCAATATTTAATATTTTTTTATGAACCTTTTTACTGATTCTATCAACTCCAAAACTAAAACATTAAAGCAAATAGAGGCAAAACAATGAAATCAACTGTACACGAATGTGTTTTTTCAGACAGTTAAAATAAAAGGCTCCATACTTTTTTATAGTCCACATTAGCTTCTTATTTATATATAAAACAGGTCACATTATTATTATTTCTATAGTGGTCTCAGTCAATAATAATCTTCGAATGATATGAAAATAAAGAAATGCTCAAGTCCTTGTTTTGTTGTACTTTTTATTTAATCAAAATATCATTTGAGGATTACAACAGTATGACAGTATTATGAGTATTATGTACATGCATACTGAAAATGTTCCCTCGCTGAATCTGTTTATATGGAAAGTTACACAGATGATGGTGGCAAAGAATGAAAAATATTAGCAGAGCATATTTTTCTACAGTCAGAAAAACACCATCTTCTTCCATTTTAACTTCTGGATTATAAATTAACTGCTTATTTCTGCAGGAAGTGACTGACATAATCAGGAAGAATAGCATAACATTTAGCATTTATGCTGAAAAAATGTGGTGGACAAAGTTGGAAAATGGCTTCAAACAGAACCAGAATTTAACCGTTGACTTGCTGTTGAAGGGTCCACTGAGCCTCTTTGGCCTCTTTGCCATCGATTAGTGTTAACAAGAATGTAAACAAATGATCAGCTGAAAGGGGGAAATAATTAAATACGACTTCTTGTGTTTTCTTATTTAAAACAGCAGTTAACTGGCAGCATTTGGCCTCACTAGTGTTTAAAGATGAAGCCATGTCTTCAACACTTTGCTCTGCACCATGTGATAAACTACAGTGATCAACATTAGAAACACAAGAGTGTGCGAACGAGGGCTTCGTGTTTTAGCATTTTTTCTGTTTGTTTTTTTTCACAGAATCATTGCACCTTACTTGTTTTGTCTGACCTACAGTCCAAAACCTGAAAGAAATTGCAAAGAAAAGCAGCAAATCTGTATATTTTGAGAAGCTGAAACCAAAGAATGCTTTAAAAATTTGCTTTACAGACGACTGAACTGCTTTGTTGACTGACTTTTAATGAGATTACACAAACCGCTGAGAAACAGACAACCTCTGCAGGTTGAGAAAACAAAGCAAATATGCTGCTGGATGCAACAGCTAGATTGTCACGGTGAATATTACAGTCAAAGCAGATTAAAACCTGTGAAAACTTGCATAAACCAATGTGAGGGAACGTCACAAACATCCGTGCATTGTCGTCCTGTTATAGTTTGAGGAGCTGACAAAAGAAAAGGCAGCAAACATTTCTTGCACATTCCGAAATCAAGTAATGATCCACTTGGCTGTTTGATGAAAATGAAATGTGATTCAGCACAAAGAAGGAGTTAAAGCAGATCTGTAGCTGTGTTTATCTTTAATGTCTAAAAATATTCACTTCGGTTCATCAATGTTCGGCCCACTTGGCTGCATTCACTCTCCTCTTAAAGGATAATTCTGATTGTGGGTCCTCCTTTCTTTGTATACGAGCCACTTAAAGCTTTTATTTTGAAAAGCTTAAACAATCTTGTTAAAAGCAAATGATTGGTAGATTGGAGCTTTTTAGAGGGAAGCACATTTGTGAAGTTTCAGGAGGCTTGTAATCCAGAAGATGTTTTAAACAACTGTGAGAAAAGCATTCAAACATACTGTGATTTTCCTTTAAACTTGCTCTCTAGCTGCAGACCATCAATGTATTTTTATGAATTTAATATGAAAACTGATTCCTGACATCCTTACATGAAACCTGCAATAAAAGTGCGGTTCATCACCATCCAGCAGAGGCTTTAAAAAAGGCTGGAACTGGTCCAAGGATCAATATTATTCCTGAAAGATGATTTTTTTTTTTCAGGTTTAATTACCAAAAAAACAACAGCAGAGAGACAAGGAGGGGAGGGAATGCAGCAAAGGGCCCAGGCTGGTTTACAACAACTACTATAAACTCTAACAAACTACACAGCTCTACATCAGAACACAGTTATTCAGCTGTTAATGCCTTCAGTGAGGATAAATTGAGATAAACGGAATTCAGTCGACGTAGAAAATCCAGGATTGGTCCAAAAGTGTTTTCTCTGAATGGTCCTAAAAGGAGGCAACAGGAATCAAATTACAAACATTAAGGCATTTCTCTTTTTTTTTTTTCCCCCTTTTGAGTTACTTTTCTAGTCCGCCTTCTTGTCCTTTGTTTCCTCATCGTCGGTGTACTCGGTGGGCTCCTCTCCTGGCTTCAGCAGCTTGCCGATGTAATCGTACTTAACTGGAACGGAGGATAAAAGGAAGTTAATCACAGAAGGCCTCAGTCGAGTGGAAACAGTGAAGTCTTTTTATATGTTCTGCAGCTCTCCCACTTTTTTTAGGGTAAATTTGGTGTTTGTTAAGGACTAAGTTGTTGGAAATGGAGCAGAAAATAGTGTTTATGGTCACTTTAATGGGATCAATTGATTGTTGAGTTTGAAAAATCTCAAAAAACTGCTCACATTTAGACATAATTCTAACCAGTAACACTCACTACTAATAGGAGGCACAGGTAAATTAAACAAGTAACATGCTTGAGTTCATACATTTTGTGTTTTTAACTGGATGTTTCCGCTACATATCAGTTTTAAAAATGACACAACGAATAAACATGATTTTTTTGTTTTTTTTAAAACTTTGGTCACATATCTGCACTCACAGGTGAACTGAGTCTCCCACTCAGACAGACTCTCCTGCTGCATAGCGTTCAGGTCTGACAGGTCGTCGTGTTCGTCTTTCAGGGCATCTTTCTCCAGACAGAAGGTAGCCAAACCTCTGGATGCATCTCTGCCTGCAAACACTCCATACGGTCCCTCTGCAAGACAGTGAAGACACATGATGAGGTGGATGCAAACAGTGAATTTATGATATTCACCAAAACCAACAATGATCTGATTCATCTCCATCTCAGAGCTCCATTTATCTAAAGGTAATTGGATTTGTTAGAGTCACTTGGAGAGGTTTCACCTCATCTTTAGTTGTGTGGAGTCTCATAAGCTTCTGTAGCTAATAAGAAACAATCCACGGATAAATGCAGAGTGAGTTGCATCTAAGTCTAATTGTAACTCATATAACAAATGTTAACTTGGCATGCTGCAATGGAAATATATCTTAGAATCTCCACTTATTTGTGTGCATTGCTTCTGTGCTGTTTACACAAAATCCACTAATGCAGGAAGAACAACACTTATCAAATGTCACATTATTCATGTCTAAGTTTTGAGCAATTTGTATTTGTACATCTAATTTATAATTCAATAATCAAAATGTGCATATTAGCTTTGCATTTTTCAACTGAAATATATTTGTGAATGATGTTTGTGGGTCCAGACTGGTGACCTGTCCAGGGTGTCCCCTGCCTTCACCCTAAGTCAGTTGGGATAGACTCCAGCCCCCCACGACCCTAGTGAGGATTAAGCGGTGTATAGATAATAGGTGGATGGATGTTTGTGGATCCCTTTGGGACCGGTCTGACACTCTGTTTGTCTCACAAAATTCACAAATGTAGAGAAAAGCCATCGTTTTCCAGCAGGTGGCTGTAACGCAACATT